GTGAGGGAAAGACAAGCAGTGTTGTGTAGGAGTGAGGGAAGGACTTACTGTGTTGTGTAGGAGTGGAAGGACTCACTGTGATGTGTAGGAGTGGAAAAGACACTGTAATGTGTAGGAGTGGAAAAGACACTGTAATGTGTAGGAGTGTTAAAGACACTGTAATGTGTAGGAGTGGAAAAGACACTGTAATGTGTAGGAGTGAATGGAAGGAGACACTGTGATGTGTAGGAGTGAGTGGAAGGAGTCACTGTGATGTGTAGGAGTGAATGGAAGGAGTCACTGATGTGTAGGAGTGAGTGGAAGGAGTCACTGTGATGTGTAGAAGTGAATGGAAGGAGTCACTGTAATGTGTAGGGGTAAGGGAAGGACTCCATCTTATCATCTTTCTAGTCCACATATACATCCATCTGGAAAAATGAGACCTGTGGCTGCCACCTTCATCGACTTCACCACAGCATTTAATCTAGTCGACCACAATTTAATCATCAACAAAGCTATAGACATCGAATTTTGAAGAAATCTTATACCATGGCGTACAGACTTCCTTCGCAACGGACGCCAAGTCGTACGCTTTCGAGGGGCTGTCTCCACTTTTCAGTCACTCACCTGTAGTGTCCCCCAAGGTACCAAGATGGGACCACTCTGCTTCCTTATGCTTATCAATGATGCCCTAAGAGAAACCTCTGCTTGCTGGAAAAATGTCGACGACTCCACCATTGGGATCAGTCAACAACTCGGCTCCCGGCTACACCGCCCTCCTGGATTTATTGAACAGTCTCCAAAAGTAGGCCACCAACAACCACGTCACCATCAACCATACCAAGACCATGGTTATGCACATCAACCTCCTCCAACCTTATGCCATCTCCCTCCATTACTTTGGGCCCCAACACACTCCAGGTTGTGGACTGCACTAAGCTCCTCGGCATCACTCAGATAAACTAAATTGGATAACACACATCAGTACAGTTGTCAAATCCTCCAGTTTCCGTCTCCTCCTCCGACTCAAGTCCCTCGGAGTTCATGTGCCCAAGCTCCTCAGTGTTTACTCAACATTCATACTTTCCACGCTCACCCATGCCTCCTCTGCCTAGTCTTCCTCCCTAAATGCCACACAGCGTAAACACCTAGAAAAAGTGCAAAAGAGGGCATGCAAAATTTTCTCCCTTCCCTACTCCACATATCATGAAGCGCTGAACACAGCAACCCTCTCGGCTCTCTGTGACCATCACCATGACCTCATCTGCAAATTTGGTACAATTTCCCTGTGGTGGTTGTTGGTCATGGCCCTGGTGGAATACTGATGTATGCACTAAAGCAGTGGTTCTTAACCTTTTTTGAGTCACGGACCCCTTTGGGAATCTGTTGAAAGCTATGGATCCCCCTCCCTAGAAAAATGCAAATAGCACATAAACACAACTTTGCATGCAATGAATATACAAGGTACTTTATTTTATTGAAAATTCATTGCCTCATACAGTGTATGACATACACAAAGTATGAATAAAGTAAACAATCTTAACAAAGAATTATGTTCCACACTTATTTATGCAAAAATAATGGCCACTCCATACAAAAATGAAATACAATCATCTTGTGCAAATTAAACAAAACAAAACTTTAATTCTGCTCAAAAGTTAATTTCAATGTGAAGGTGGTTGTTGTTTGGATTGAAGATAAATGTTAAATTTTTATCTGACCTTCACGGACCCCCTGAAGCCCATCCATGGACCCCAGGTTAAGAACCCCTGCACTAGAGCCTGACCCAATCAGGTGCACAAAGCTGTGGCACCACTTGCTCAGCCAATGAGGGCCCAGAATGCAAGGGTGTGAGCAGCCTTTGGAGGGAAAACCATAGCTTTTCTCAGACCCCTGCTATTATCGGACACCACGTGAGTGATTCTCCTTTTTTCTGTGTAATTAGTGCTCATAAGTGCATATTATGAGTTCAAGTGACAGTGAAAGTGTGAAGTGCCAATGTTTTTACTAACTCCTATGATTACAGTATTCAGAGTGCCTACTACAGTATACAAGTGAAGTTGCAGAAGGGGAGGGACCAGCATTATGACCCTTGGTTTGTTTGACCTCTCCTCCATTGATATACAATACCACCAAAGTACAGAGTATGCAAACCTGCCAAGCTCTCCCACGAGAAAGTCAGCGACATTGCGGCCACTGATGAACTACGTCCCAGCCATCTACTAGGATATATTACAGAGGCAATAGGACACTGCAGCTGTTGGTGAGGAGGTGGACCCCAACAATAAAATGCTTAAGTATTAGTCACCCATGCATACCTGTCCTGTATATTATTACATTAACATTGTATGAATGATTAATAATAATAATTTACTTGCAGGTAGTAGGCAGCTACCAAACAGGCAAACAGGAAGGTACTACCACCTGAGAAGATATTGGAAGCATAATGTGTTGTCTATGGTAGACCCTGCTGCCATATGGCATCACAAAAATTGTGACCAAGTCCCAGGTGGCTGATCTGACTTTCTGCTTCATTTACACACAATTGCAGGGTTTCAATTGTTTCTCTTACTTTGACAACACAACATACATACAGTTTGTTCGTGATACTATTATGAAGACAACAGAAAACAAGAAACATTCAACACCATATGTTCAGTTTCTTTATATATATACATTTTTTTTAGGGTTGAAAATATTATCATACAGCACACCATTCATACTTGGCAGTGATGTCCTGCACTCCAGAATTTATACTATGAAGGGTTCATCTCTCTACATTTAAAGAAATTTTTTACACAAACCTCTGAACATTCATGTGATATTGGGAGCAGTAAGGTAATGGAACCATGCCAACCTATACACTATGTACTCTTATGGTGTAAGAAAAAGGTAAATGATACATAGAATTGGGCAGTGTCAGAAGTAGTTTATTCTGTATAAGGACACATATTAAGGTCAGGTACTTTAGGAAAAAATACAAGATTGACAAATATTAAAACGAGACAGAATGACATTCATTCCTTTCTCTTAACCAGAAGACTGAAACATGGAATTACTTATCAGTTATAAGGTTAAACTAAAATAACTATGTATATAATGATTAACAAAGGACAGAAACATCAAGTTGTAAAATATACTAAACTAAATCAAAGATAAAACTTTTTAGTACATGTGATGCTGCATTTAATGCCATCAACACACGCCAGAAAAATATGATAATTTCTAAGTGTTAAATTATATCCATCTTTGTGTTGAATTACTCTACTGTTATTAGTAGAGCTTAAAGCTACAAAATACTTCTAGGTTGATTCCTGAGAAGTAAAGACAATACTATTCAGATTATGCTTTCATGCATCACAATACAGCATTTTTGAGGTGTTGATAAGCAACATTACAGATCAGTTATGCACTTAAAACAACAAAAATATCATATTTTGACATCGCCTATACTGTCTTTATAACAATCAGCAAAGAAATATTTTTTTTTCACATTTCAATAAACCTGATCTTCATGCAGATAATGCAATCAAATGTATATCTAACATCTATTCCAGAGTAGGCAAATAAACACCCTAATTCTTATTTTTGTGTATGGGGAAGTTAGTACACCAATATAAAAAGATTGCTTTTTATAAAAAATTATTCAACTTATTTACTCACCTACAAATCTTGTTCACTATGATTACAGTACTGTATAACATTCCCTTGCTGTTAAGAGCCAACCTTTTACAAACATCAACTCTTGGCATTATTTATGTTTCATCAGTCAACTGTGGACCATCTTATGTTTACTATCCGCCAATTTCAAATCTCCAAGGATTACCTGTACACATTTGGAAAAAGAAGGCAAGTTTTCTTCCAATAATCCTCATGATCTCACTCCCCTCTCCCAGGCTCATGCCTTAGGCAATCAAAACTCAGCTTATGAAAATGGTACTTACAAACATGGCAACCAGAGCATAATTTCCCTGGTGATTAGTGGAGCTCGTCCCAGGAGATATTATGAACATCTTATGATAGATCAGAAACTATAGGTAATAAAAGTACAAGTGAAGGGTAGTGGAATAATAATAATAGTGGCAAATGACTTTAAACCAGAGAAGGAATAAATTACCACCCCACAAAGTTTAAAATCTTGTTGTATTCAATATTTTCTCGATTTAACGAACTAATTTGAGCCACCCCTTCCCATTGAATCGAAATTTCTGCTAAATCGAATTTCCGTTATTTTTGCTCAATTTACCAAACTATTCACTAAATCATGCATGATTTCGTTAAATTCTGCACCAAACACGCTACATGTCACTTGGTGCATTGGGTTTGTTCACATCCGCTCAGTCTGTGTCCTGCTGCCACTGCATGTGTTGTTCACTGCTACCTCTTGATCAACTAACTATTTGGAGCATCTTAGCTTTCATCTTTATTCAAGGCATCTTCAGAGGCTACTGAATTTACAGGGACAGAGAGAGGCTTATATACAATGGGTAACTTTACATGACATCAGGTCAGATCAATAACATGGGATCCACTAATCCACACACCACCACCACAAACGAAAAAAAGAGCTTATAAAAAAAAAATGGGTGACATAACAACAGGTCAGGTCAAACATGAGACCCACTAATCTATCCTAAATGCACCTCAAATACTTTCAAAATATGTTTAACCTTAGACCAGTGGATCTCATGTTTATGACCTGACCTGTTATGTCACCCATTTTTTATAAGCTCTTTTTTTGTTTGTGGTGGTGGTGGTGTGTGGATTAGTGGATCCCATGTTATTGATCTGACCTGATGTCATGTAAAGTCACCCATTGTATATAAGCCTCTCTCTGTCTCTGTAAATTCAGTAGCCTCTGAAGATGCCTTGAATAATGACAAAAGTTAAGGTGCTCCAGTGTTCCCTTTTCCTGTGTGGTTTTATATGTTACTGGTAACAGTTTCCTAAATACTCCCTGCTAAAATGGGGGGTGAATCTTATATGGTGTTTTTATATTATTTATCGTTTTTATACATTTAGTACATTCGCTGTAGGCTGAAGTAGGTTTTACTGTATCATGTGTCTGAGGTGTCTCTGTAGGTGTGAGCGTATTAACGGAATTAATTTTGACTTAGTGAACTAGTTCACTAAACCGAGCGAAAAATAACGGAAAAAATTCCTTCTGCTAAACCGAGTTCGTTATGTCGGATTCCGTTAAATTGAGAGTATATTGTATATGATTTTATTTAAGATATGAGTCACATTTGGTTGTTCACTACTATACCTTGAAACAAAATATTTCCCCAAACAAAAAAATCTTCATTATATTATACCTACAACCATTTATAAAGGTTTGTATACAATGCTGGCTGGTGGTAACAGCCTTCTGGGACTGACCTGCATTCTGAAATTTTAATTTAGGAGTTTTAGATTGAACTGTAGTATAGTATACATATGTGATTTTGATCCCGTGTGCTCTTGCAGTTACAGACATTTCCTGCATTCAACTGTTCTCATGTTATGTTTACTTCATTCCATGTGTTTTATAAATCCCTTTAACAATATATTGTTTGAATAGGTATGTGCTGGTATTATTTCAGATATTATATACTAATATCTATCATTATTGTTTAATTATACCTAAATAACATTGCTCGTGCATGTTTTTTGTTGATAGGTATACAGTATTACCTTTATACTAAACCATTCCTCAGCTTCCAGCATTACCTCTCCATACCGAGCAAATTCACTATATACAGAACCCTCTACTACCCCCCCCTCCCTCAAATACTTCATTCAAATATAATACTGTAGTTTGGTGGGCAGATGGAACCAATACTGTGGGTGGATTGCTCACTGAATCAAATGATCTAGTTTCTAAAATTTTACTGTCCAGTCTATATACACATGATCTGCAATAGAAGTGTGTAGATAGTCCACATCTGATTAAGTTATTTTGGCAATTTAGATATGCTACCCATTTTTTCTTAAAGCTGTTATTACATCGTCTCAGTAATGGGGAGGGGGGTGGGGGGGGGGGGTATCCGAGGGTTACGATACAGTATATATAAATACAAATTGCGAAACACGTATGAAAATACAAAATGCGCCTGTTGCCAAATGTGACCCTTGACCTTCATCTCTCATCAAGTGTAAGTATCCACACTAAAGCTATGCTCCACATAACTAAAACTTTACAACACCCAGATGATAGACACTTCCTAACTATAAAAATCAGGATTCAATCAGATGCTTACAGTACTGGGGCCTTGCTCAGCCTCCGTGATCGCCGACTTGGGGTTGTCAAATTGGAAGCTGGAAGAAAAAATATTTGCAAAAGATATAATAACTTAGAGGGATCAGTAGCAACTAACAAACAATTCAGTTAATATTAAGTTCTTTAAGCAATCATTTCACTCCACCTATACAGTACCTTATTATTTAGTTGGGAATAAAGAAAGCTTAGAAGTAAAACTGTCAATATGATAATGTGAAGGATGCTTTTGTTACAGCAGCTGAGTCTCTGAAGATAAATGTGGAGTGAAAGGTGGAATTTAATCCTGATATCTTATTTTATCATCAATGGTAACAACTAATGACTCAGAGCAAGCCAACTCTCTTTGTTTGGATACAGGAGCAAGGTACAGGTACTCGATGGATCTGCAATTTTTTCAGTCATAATAGCATCTCTTAATTCTTAATAATAATATAAAAAAGTACTCCATTAATTTAATCCTTTCATTATGTATTATATCTGAGGTGGGTACTGTCCCATGTTTATTTATTTGACCAAAATCACTAAAATAAGTCATTAGATTTACCAAACTATCTCACCAACCTTTAGATAAGTACTGTAAGCCTAGATACCTTAATAATAAGTAAAGTGCCTGTATTCACTCTAACAAGGGTGTAATAGCTCAAAACATACCACATGAGAGGTTTAAAAAATTAGCCATGAATTACTGGAACACTGCACTGCAATCATGGCATAGACTCCATAGAGCAATGATAGGATTAAAAAAAGATGACTCACTCAATGATTGTCTCCATTAAAGGAAGATGAATTATTTGTGTCCTGGAATAAATAAATGACACAAGGAATCCCCCCACCCCCTATTCATTTGTTACTCCCAAACATAAAACACAAGTTCTAGGATCTACCAAGTCACTTCAGCTGCCTTTGTCATGCCCCCTGGGAGGAAGGAAGGGATCTGTGTCAGTGTTTTTATCCTCCATCATAAGATAGGTTTCCAGATTCAGTCCGCCATTTAAGAATTTGGGCTGTAACATGAGACTTGTGATCTGCTCTATCCAAGTATTAATATCAAAGCTTGCTAATTTAAGAAATTTTAATCTTAGATAAAGACTGAACAGCTTTTACCAGGTTTCCTGGATGAGGGCCATCCTCCAGTTTAGAAAGGAATTTCCATTGGTAATTTAATTTTTGAAGAGAAAAATCACCCTTAGCCTATGAATAATCCAAGATAACAGCTGATTAAGTCTTCTGACACACAGGCCATGCACCTCACTCAAGATTGGAACTGGATAAGTTGAAACACTGCACTCGGTAGTTGAACATGATAAATCACATTGTTGCAATAGCAATACTCATTTTTGTCAGCTATTATGGTATGGTAACTCCTCTATCTAGCAGATTTTGGGGGGAAACCTGGACAGGATAGGGAAGGATACACTATATTTTTCTAATTAGTTACATTAAAATATGGTTCAATGAATTTATACCATCAGTGTGAAATTTTACTATCCCGGGTATTGTAGTTATCCATGCTTATCAGTAAGTATTCATGCGATTATAAATATACACAAGACAACCAACGCTCAAAAATATAAAAAACACTTATTGCTTCTAGAACCACACAGTTGCAAAGACATGAAAAAATAAATTCTATGCACCTGTTGATCTCGATTTTCTCTTCTTGTGTTCAACTGGTGTGTCAAAGCTGATCAGATCTTGAGTGACTGGCAGCTCTTGCTCAATTATACGGCTATTTACCATTCCATGAAACAAACTCATTCGTGAAGACTTCCTCCGGGTAGCTGCGAAATCACAAGACACATGAGAAAGAGGAAAAAAAATAAAAATAAAATATAAATCAACATTTGGTTCACAAAGCAGGATTTCAATGATATTTGGGTGTAATATTCTTCTGTTCAGTGACATCCTTATCACTACATTATCAAATTCATGGCCAAAGAGACAAAGCCCTCAGAAACTACAGCCTATTCATTTTATTTTCCATTCTTTTAAGGCCCTTCCCACTACAACACCACGCTGCTAGAATGAAGAGCAACAATAACAAATGCCGTACTTCTTTCACTGTCCCTCAATCTTTCAGTTGTCTTCAACACATTTTTCTACGTACAGTACTATGGTGTTCTTGTTCTACAATTGTACCAAGGTCCCAAGACATCCCCATGGTTTAACTTTTACAATATATCAACCATTTAATTCTACAATATACCAAAGTTCCAAGAGTGAGTGGGCCATTTTCCTCTCCTAGTCATTGTTACACTTTGTTTAATTTTTTCACTCAACCTGATGTACTGTACCTCTTTCCTAGCTTTTCCATGTACCTTTCCAACAGTGTACTCCCTTTCCAGAAACCATTATGCTCTCAAATCATACACATGCATGGCAGCCCCCAGACATCCCTCCCCTTCCCTCAGCTAACCCGAGCAAGCGTGGAAAATGGCGACTGAATGAATCACTCCCTCAACCCCACCACCGGTCTCCCTAGTCTTACCATCTCTCTCTTACCAATATCTCATCTCCCAATCTGTCCCTACCACTAAAGCTAACCTTAGTCACTTCTCTCAAATATTCTTAAAACATCTTACATTACTGTACTTCCTTCATTCTGACTAATAAATTTTCCCATCTCTCTTCTCTGTTTATTTTCAACACTTTGCTTCCACTCATGTTTAGTGTTAAAATTTTCTTACAACACACACACACTTCTTTACTCATCAAACATTCTCCCCAGGTTACACCCCATTATTGTAATTCACAACTGCATCCTTCTTATCAAAATGTCACTCGACCTCATCATCATAAACTGCCAACCTTCCTTGCCAATCAAAGTGCACCCCTCTCCGTCACTTTTCTTACTACCACCTTCGTGTAAACACCAAGGCAATATTGCACATCTTTACTTCCTTGGGACAGTCCCACTTTTTCCCAACACAAAAGCCACAAACTATTCTTCTTCTCCAGATATTTTTTTTTTCAATCATATTCCTAAATACAGTAGACAAACTTGGTCCATACATCCTCTACATTTTTTTTAACCTACATTGTTCCTCTCATTACATACACTTTGTAATATTCCAATAATAATAGTTTTGGGCAACATCCCACATATAAACTTGTTCCCCATAAACTTTACCTCTATGCAGGAGAGCAATACATACTCTGTCATTCCTTTGGTAACTATGTGTCTATGTTACTGTATACATGGCCTATAAACCCACTGATCATTCTAGGTTATTTTCCTCTCATCAACATTGATGTTTACAGCAATTCCACCCACTATTAGTATCATGACATTTTTAAGCTGGCTTGTGGCCTGTCTCACCTTCTCTTCATTTTCTATTAAACTATGACGCCAAACATGAAAACTTCACCTGTTGTCCAGTTTTCAAAAGACGCTCTGAACATTTTCTCCATAAGGCATTTACAGTACATCATACGTAACCTCTCATTTTACACTGCTACTTCCATTTGTTCATTTGGCTTCCTAACCAAAATAAATTCCCTCTACAGCTGCCTTTTCCCTTTAAAACCATTTTATTTTTACTGTATTCTACCGGGTAATTCTTCCATCACAGTACTGCCCTTCTCCGCCGCCTCCTTTCATCACTCACACTTGCACCTGAGAACACACACTGATCCACTCTTTATTCATATCTTTTCACTTCCACATCCCAAATTCTTTTTCTCTAACCTTATTTCCCAACAGATTGCTCTCAAACATATCCTATCTATTCCTTCTAATGTGCCCCTTCTTCCTCCATCCAGTGCACGTGCTTCACACTCAGATATGAGACTATTTTAACAAGACAAAATTTAATTAATGAAATAGTCTCAGCCATTCATCTCAAGGACTTACTTGAATCCAATTATTAGGATACATAGGTAATTAAGGACTCCATCTCACATTTCTCCTCCTCAGTTACCAAGTACAACCAACTCCTTGTCCCATTGTTCACTCTTGTTTGTTTTTCAGTCCTATTCGATGGTACCTATACACCTCGTTTATACAGTGACCCCTCGTTTAACGAACACCTCGGTTAACGTAATTTCGATTAACGAACTGCCGTCCATAAGGATCTTCAATTCGGTTAACGAAAAAAAATTCGGTTAACGAAGTTCTTACGAACCGACTTCAACATGTTTTCACTTGCACTGACCGGGCAACCAGCTTTAGTATCAGTCAGCCAATACATTAATCGGTTCTAGGGCTTAAATTCCTTACTATTTTAGTAAATATCAAGAAGTTTATACTATTCAATAATTTTAAAAGTTTAATATTAAATTTTTTAGTCATTTTAACAATTATTGAACATAATTGAAGGTAAAGTGACTAGTTTAATGCACGGCATCCAGCCTCTTAACACAGCAAACAGGAGTTAGTCTCTCTCTGTTTTCACTGGAGGTAACATCTTGCTTGAGACTCTCTTCAACTAAACGCTTTTTTTCTGTGTTTCCAAGCAAATTATTGGTCACTTTGAAATATATTTTACATATTGACAATATATAATGCAGTGCAGTGTTGATTTAAAGAAAATAATCTTGAATTACACCAAGAGAGCTAAAATTTTATGGGTGAAATGGCACCATGGGGTGACTTCTCTTCCACCCCAATGCCTTCTCTTCTTCCTTCTCCACCCCCATTCTAAATCCCATCATCATCATCATCCAGGAGCCTTCTACATACACACCTCAAAGTAAGTGAAATTTTCTACCATTTTTGTTGAATTTAGGAAATTTTCGGTGAGCTGGAACCAATTACCCAAAAACCCATTGAAACAATGGTTTCGGTTAACGAACGACCTTCTGGAACGGATTGAGTTCATTAACGGAGGGGTCACTGTACTTTCAAAAACTTAAATCTTCAACCTTTAATTAAATGAAGGTACTGTATGTATGCAACAATATTTTCTTTATTTTGTTATTCAAAATGTAAACCAAATGTTTAACCAAGTTTGTGTGGAAGCAAAATTTGTAGCCAGGAGAAAATTTAACTTAACCTAAGGACAAGGAGGGCCAGTTTTTTTAGGTCTGGTTTTGAGGGTCTATACCTGTAGTGGAAGAGAGCTTGTATAAAATATATATCAAATCAGATACCACTCACCAGTTGTTTTCTTCTCACTCTGTGGAGAGTCCAGGGAAATGAGATCTTCATTTTGTGAAGGAACGTAGTCTGTATTCATGTCTATTTTAGCAAAGATGCCCACTGAAAGAGATTATATTATTGTTATGAGAACTAAGGTATCATACCAAACACAACAATACAGGAAAGTAAATGATTAATTTCACCACATAAAGTAGCTACATTAGGGAAATATTACAGAAAGTATGTCTTATCAATTAAGGTATACATGGTACTGAAAGTATGAATTTGAACAAAGATATTTTCTATTATTTTATGTTTAATAGTGTGATGCTCCACATGCTGCCTCACAGACAATGGCCCAAGGTTTCATTCCCAGGTGAGGGAGAACGTAGGGAACATTCCTTTGTGACATTTGACTATCAGTACTGTAGTTATTTGGAAAGACTTTAGCTAATATGATTGACAAGATATTCAGCCTTTTGGGGTTATTTCTTGAGACTGGGTAACACAGTTTAATAACTGAAGGTGAAATAGTTGTTTGTTCCAATTTGACACAATAAAGTTCTACCAACAGCAACTTAAAGGCCAGAATTAATCCCAAAAGATAACCCAATTTATTAAAACAATTTACCATATGACCAAAAAGATTTAATGGCACAAATCTCTCTCCCTCTCTCGGTAAAGTGTACAGTAAGGCCCCTTAAGTCGGAATATATGGGGCTCAAGCTAGTCCAACTTATCTGAAAGACTGACTTACGTGGAAATAACCCCCCCCCCCCCAACTCAAGAGACGGCTGTTAGGAGGGGGAGAAGGGAAGAATGTGAAGTAGATGGATGGGGTGAAGGACACAACAGGTATATAAGAGATGGACATGAAGGCAGCAGCATGAAACAACCCACATAACTACAGAACACCTTGACACTCCTCTTACTTGATACTCGAGATGAAGATCGAATTGGTGTCCCCGGAAATCTAAACGAGGGAGTGGCATTCTCTTCCTCTTGCACAGCAAACATAACGGATCTTCTAGATTTCCTTCTTACAAAAACTGCAGCATCTGATGATAGACTCTGATGAGGCTCTTCTGCAAAATTGGATATATACATTAAACTGTACAGTATATATATTAAATATAGTTTGTTATAAGTATATTGCAGTTGCTGTGTTTATCTATAATCTTCCCATAATTAAAATATTGTGGGAGAAATGTCTTAAGTTTAATCACGTCACTGCAGTACAACATCAGGATAATATTTCGAACAAGCAACTGATGACCATAATATAGGAATATCTTGCTATTTGCAATCCCGCTTATGTGCAATTGATATTTCAACACCCCACTTATTCGTAAAGAAATACACGATACCCAACAGCAATATTTCAAACCACGCAGGCTAGCCGCAGCTCTTATACTGTATTCTGCCGTAAGACCCGTTTCATACGAGCGTGTTTTTTTTTACGCATGTGAGGACCCGCACAGTTTAGACGTCAACAAAGTTCAATGGAGCACGTGTGTGAAAATTCAAGAACGGAGATGCTCATCCCATGCCTGTACTACCAAACCGTGATGTGAAAAAACACGCTGAGCATTCTAGAATTCTTCATATGGCAACAGAGTACAGTACTTCAGACGAGTTAGTTTAACACACGATATCAAAGACAAAGACGACGTTACACACACACACACACACACACACACACACACACACACACACACACTCACTCACTCACTCTCAGTGTTCTTTTGTATTGGTTTTATGGTATTGTAATTTTATTGCATTATATGGTGTACCTGTAAATCAACAATAAAAAATATAAAGAGCATGGGTGGTTGTGTATGTGTGTGGAGTGAATGAATGTATGTGTGTGTGTGTGTGTGTGTGTGTGTTGCCAAGTTAGACTGTCCCTGTAGCAACATCTCCCTATCAGGCCAAGCTGTATTATTGTTACTTTTAAACTCATACTTTCGGGTAGATATACATTTTTTCTTACCCTATTACATGCACATACAATCAATTGTTTATACAGAATGTGAATAAAAAATTTATCATAAGGTCAAAAACAAAGAGAATAAACATTTCATATATCTGCGGTCCGTGGGAGAGGAGGAGGGAGGGGGCAATGTCAGGAATCTTAGCCTCCTCCAACCAGGCCAAGCTAAGATCTTTGTCATTGTTATATTTCAACTCGTAATTTCAGGAAGATAAACGCAATTTTCTTGAATTTTTACTTTGTCACATGAACACAATTGTTAATACAGAATGTTCATGAAAAATAACAAAAATGATTATCTTTAGGTCAAAAACATTTCTTATGTGCACGGGAGTTAGCCGCACTGGTCGTGGGAGGAAGAGGAGCAAGCAGTGTTGGGGGTCTTAGCCTCTCCCGTGTGTGGTGAAAATATTACTAACTGGCAATGTAGTATTTTTCTTATTTTATTTATTAGTATAATTAGTATTTATTCCTCACATTTATTGGTACTACGCGCTGCCCTGGTTCCTAATAGCCTCAGATAATAAGGAGCAGATATAAAAAAATTTGGTGAAAGTTGCCAGCTGAGAACACATCCCCCCCATTTAAAAATAATTCTGATGGGGGAAAACTGCCCCCAAATAAAAAATTTTTTTATTTGCAATGACTCTTAGGAATGCATCATTTGCAATAGCCAGGGTATTCCTGTACCATATATGGTGTCTGTGATACCTCATTTGTGTTTACCATGTCTGAAGGTCATATTTTTTTAAACTACAAATATAGGTTAACAACTCTTATCAGCAGATGGCTTTGCTCCTACTTACAAATGTCCAACTTGTCTCTCACCATTTCTTTAAAAAAAATTGGTTAAATTCTTTCTCTATCTCAATGAGTTCAATTACCTTCATCTCACTTCTCTCCATTCATTATAAATATAACTTCTACCAGGTAATGGTCACACACACCCCTTGTAGCATTGGTCTAAGTACATTGACATCAGCCACTTAACATTTCACCATTCTCCTTTCTACCAACAGTCTACTAGCTTCTGCATTATGCCACAACCATGTATATTTACGAATGTTTCCATTTGAACCCTGTCTTCCCCACCACCAACCCCCTTGCAGTGTATACACTGTTTTGCTCAAGACAAGAACATCCAGGTTTCTTTCATATATCATAAGTTTTAATCACTTTAACATTGATTACACCCCCCCCCCCCAACACACTGAAACACCATTTTATTTATTCCCTTTTAGTATATGATTAAAAAGACAAATATATCTCATAATATACTGCAGAATGAAATCTTTTAAATGTATTCCATATTCATAAAATTTCATGTAACTCACCATTTTCCTTGCACTGTGGTGAGACAGAGGCAACAGTTGGGGTATTTTCAATGGATAGCAATGTAGATTTAGTGGTTGTCTCCTGGGTTGATTTAGGAGATACTGATGCCTGGTGGTTGGATAAAGAGGCAGGTGTAATTTGAGGAGGAGATTGTTTAGAGGTAAGAGGAGTAACTGCTGGGGGATTGATAGCCACAGATGACACAGCAGGACTGTCTTCAGCCCAAACATCAATATCTGGAGGGAAATATAAATATACATAAATAATCATTGACCCTGAAATTCCACAGTATATCTCTTGCTTGTGTTTAATAGCAAAGTGTATAAACATTCGAAGCTTTACTTGGTGAATTATTTTGGGTCTCTGGTCCCCAATCCCTTATTTTGCATTTCTCTACCATGATTTTTTTTTCCAAATGTTCTTGGTTCCTATCTTACAAAATAACCATAGACTACCGTATTCATACCTATCATCTTATTTCATTACTTATGCTCACAAGCACTTTTAACATTCTTCCAAACGAATGAATATCTGTACTTGCAATTTTTCCTCCATATCACACGAGAGAGCAGTGCCATCTACAAACAGCAGCTAACTCACCTTCTACCTACAACCCATATCACCACAGTATTCACCAAACTTGTACCCTGTATCAAGGTCGAGTTTAAATTTATTATATATATATATATATATATATATAAATACCGGTAAATAATATAAATTAAATAAAATTAGTGTTGGCGGCAGCAGCTGCGTGGGGGGGGGGGGTTGCCATTCCATACCCAATACCTTATATTTCCTAGCATTCTACAGATACACACAGAATGACACACAGTATCATGAATCACTATTCCATTATAATTCTCAGTTCCATTCTCATGATACAGTTTTTCTATATACAGTACACAGGTTTCTCTCAACCCCATCATTAAGTGATGTTCTATGCATGCCAAAATGCTCTATAGCATTAAATGATGTGCAGTAGCATTTACCTGGAGATTGAGTGTAAAGTGCAGCAGGCATGGAGGGTTTTAGAAGAGCCAATAGGTTAGTACATGTTTGGTCCTCAAACACACTGTTGCCAACAGATGTGTCCTTCTCTACAACACCTTCCACTACTGGCTGGTCAGCTGGTGTGTCTGGTCTAGTACCATCAGGGTGACCACAAACGGGATACTCTAAAAAATTCAAAAGCACTGGCTGCCATGTTTCTACTTACAACTTAGTATGCAAAATAATGAAAGAATTAACTGGTTATATAACTGATAAATAATTAATATGGTGCTGTAAAGTAGATGTTACGGATGATTAAGCCATTCTCTGGTTTAACCCAACTAAGTGTGCACAAAAAGCACTTATCCCATTATGTAATTATAGGCATTATTAAAGCTAATTTTAAGGAAACCGCTTGAAGCGAAATGGTTGAAAAATATTTAAAATAATCGAAAAATTAACAAAAATTTTCAGAGCTTTGTCTGCCCTTCCAGTAACCACTCCCACATCAAAGTTATTTATGGAGATTTAGCAATTAAATGGATAGTTAAATGCCAACCCAATTAAGGTATATTGATAAAATAAAGAAGAAAATTACTAGTCATTCTTTCTTACCTGACATGACTATGTCATCAGGTAGTCTCTGAAATTCTGGCGTGGAGCAGTTGCGTTTTTTGTTTGATGAACGACGTGAATTATCAATCCATGGACTTGTCTTCAGCAGCCATGATAGTTTTGACTCATGAAGTTGGCTTCCTGAAATATACTTCCTATACTAATATGGTTTTTATTTATAAAGGCCATTATATATCTAGTCCCTATATATTATCTTTACAGTTACTGTATAAGCCCAATTATCACTGCCTTTTTACAAAGAAAATTCACTTGTTTTGCAATAAGGAATACACAAGAACTGTGTACTTTAAAGTGACACTCAAGCCTATTTGAAAGAACATTAAATCATCACCTGAATAATGCCTACAACTGTTTTTGTTAATTTTTAGGTCTAAAAATCTGTAGTTAAACTAACAATGCATACCGTTTCAGCATTGGCATAAACAAAACCTTAATTAAAAAGTGATGGTGGGTCCTATAAGAATGACTGCCCATTAGGGACAGTGTGGATACAGTACACTAAGCCTTCTGTACACCAGGAGACAGCATGGCCAGTACTGCACTTGACTGCAATCCCTTTCCTAAGTTGTAAGCTTAGGTATCCATTTAAAGCTGGGTGAACTGGAAGTGTCCAAGGATCAAAACACTGACCCATGGAACTGGAAGTGAGTGCTGTATCCACCTCACTGCCACTCCTTAATGAACTAAAAAACTGATTATTTAATGTCTCAATATATAGTTATATGCTCACTCCATAAAAGCTCACTTTACCAATGCCTGAAGTCCATTCTCACAAATACACAGCCCCTTGTGATCTACCCTTTGTCTAGTGAAGTTAAAGTTTAGAAATTATCACTCCTAGTCACAAATATTCTCAACACACAGCTTAGCCTTTGGATGACATCACACCTCATTTGGACCTTGGCAAGAGACAAGCTACCTCAATTACCCATTACCAGTTAGATGGGGAAAGAACTAAAGAATCCCACATGTTGGCACATTACCTGGAAACAAAGCTTGGAGCTACCTTGGCATCAATGGATATAAACTTTGTTGGTGGGGCTAACTCAGACACAATGGCAAAAGGTCTATGTATGAAAGACCTCTACAACCAATCAAATCAAGCCTACTGAACAATTAAGCCACATTTAACAAGCTATAAAAACCCCTTAATACTTCTGATGTACCCTATACTGTCTTGGTTATAAATTACTTGTAAACAGATTGATAATTGCTGCAGTTGCCAAACCATGTAGTAAGATCAATGGACTCTTTGACAGATGAGATATCTAGAAATAGCTTTATAAATATATACAGAATAACTCAAATCTAATACAAGTTGAATTCTTCTTAAACTTACTGGGAGTAACAAACAGTGAAGAGTCAGTCTCCAACTCAGTGGGTGTCAGAGGTAATTCAAATTTCTTTTCAGTATGTTTTTCTTCCAGTGTCACATGTTCTTGTGCCTTGTCATCCAATGTTTGCTCATTACATGTATCTTTCTTCTTCAGCACAGTGTTCTCAGGATAAAACGTAGAACACGTTGGAATATTCCTCTCTGCTAGAGATTCATCAATATGATTGAGCTTTACACAATTCTCGGAGCGCCGAGAACTCTTCTTGGCAGAAGCTCGTAGCCTTGGAGTAAACATCATCTCAGGGGGAGAATCACAGTGTGCAGAAATAGACCGCCGCGTGCTACGACTGCACGGTGTACGAGGCCTTAACCTGGATATGGTTGGTGTTACAAAGTCATCTCCACAGCAGGCGGTCGACCTTCTCGTAATCCTTTTAGCTGGAGTGGCCACATTGCCGCGTCTCTTTGATCTGTAACCATTCTTGTTCTCTTCCTGAATACTGCCAGTGTCAAGTGTGTCATCAACACTTCCTTCTTGGCTGGTACATTTCTCATGATCTGCGTCCTCTTCTGGCATACTCTTATCTTCATTTCTGCCACTGTCCACTTTCACTGCATTTATGTTATTACTATTATTTGAACCATTTACACTAACTTGTGCAACATCATCTGCATTTGTAGTAAGCATGGGCCCCATTTGCTCTTCAACTTCATATTTCTCTCTCTTTTCTTCAACTATGCATTCATCCTCATTATTTTCATCTTCCTGAACCTGTTCTTTATTAAATTTTTCTTGTTCTTCAAATTTATGTACCTCTTCCACAGTTTCAGACGCCTCAACACCACGTTCTTCCACATTTTCTTCATCTTCATTTTCTACATCCTCATTTTCCTCCACTTTTTCTTCATCTTCATTTTCCCCCATATTTTCTACATCTTCATTTTCCTCCACATTTTCTACATCTTCATTTTCTTCCACATTTTCTACATCTTCATTTTCCTCCACATTTTCTACATCTTTATTTTCCTCCACATTTTCCACAGCTTCATGTTCCTCTACTTGTTCCACAGATTTGCATACCTCATCTATCTCCTCTTGTCCAGTATGTGGTTTAGCCTCAACAACGTATCTACTGTCTGTCTCGGTAACATTAGCATCTTCTGACTCAGAGTTACCTCTTTGCTTACCGACTTCCTTTTCTACCGCCTCTTCATTTTCCAAGTGCACTTTTGACTGGTTAATAGATGAGGTATCAGTATCAGCAGTAACATTGGTGGATGTTTCATCAGGTGAACCATCAACACCTCTTGCATTCTTGAGGGCACTGAAGGAGTGCCGAGACCTCCGCGCTACATTATTCTCAGCAAGGATATCAAAACCTCTTGGTAAATTTGACATCTGAAAAGGGAAGGAAAATATGGTAAAGGATGGAGACTATCATCAATACCAACATGTTTTCAATCTCTTACATCCACCTTTCTCGCTCATCTCACCTTATCTGTGTAACGATCTACAACTCCCCCAAAAGTGACCAATAATATATCTGATACTAAAGTTACAATTTGGTGATTGTTGGTTGAGGTCTTCCACTTTTAAATATTCCCTGAAAAAGATATCATTATTCCCCCTTTTGTCACTAATTTACCAGAATTTTTTTTGCATTTTAAGTCAAATAAAAACAAGTACTACAGGGAGTCCCCGGGTTTTGAACAAGTTCTGTTCTTGAGGACATTCTTAAGTTAGAAATATATGTAAGTCTGGACACATACCATATGTGCACTGCAGTATATCATAGCCTAAGTCCTTTTATACATCTCAAATCACTTAAATTAAGAGAAGAAAAACTTAATGACAAAATACAGTAAAGGTAAGTAAAAATAAAAGTTTAACACTTACATTGAAACCTAGGGCTGGCTGATCTTTCATCCATATCACTAACAATCTTTTCATTTCAATTAACAATCCACTTCTTTGTTTTGTTATCACAGTTGAGTGCATTGGTGTAGATCCTTTTACGTTCCAGAATTTTTCCAACTATTGACAGACTGAAGCCCAACGCTTTACTAATGACCGGGGACGTTTCGCCTTTTTCAGAACGTTTAATTACATCAAATGTCACTTCCATTGTAACTGTTTTCCTTTTCTTGGATGCACTACTATCACTTACACCAGGTATGCATTTGGGAGCCATAATGAGGGCAAAGTGTACAAACGATCCCTCACGGCACGTAGCTGAGTGACGCATTACTCCCCACGCGCCGCTACGCCGTGCAAACTTGTTCTCATACGCTACATACTATGAACCAGTTGTACCCATGTTGGATTCTTAAAATAATTGACCTTATGGGACCTCGTTCGTACCGGCGGGTGTTCATAAGTTGAGGACCCTCTGTAGTCTGTACTGTATTGTATTGTCCAAGGTAGAGGTATTCCTTTTACCAGACCTCTCCCACTTTATTGAAGGGATGCCAAAACCAACAACAAACACCCCTTTAATTTGTACCCATTCTTATTACAGTACTGTAATAGATGTGTTGTACAGTGCTTGGATAGTAAGGAAATAAAACCTTACTTTTTTTTCCAGATAGAATCATAGTACAGTACTGGAATAATTGACTGACAAGTTATGACTGTCACTATCTGTAAATTAGGGCTGACCCAATTCTTAGTTTTCACATGACGTCACATAGTGCACAATGCATCACGTATATGCCTACAAGTTGGTGGACCGCGCAAAGGATTATGGGAGCTGTGACGTCAATGCAAACTAAGAATTTTTTTTTTTTTGGCGATATCTTTATTGACTATTCGATTTACTAATTAGATTCCAAATAATACCAGCATCGTAAAAAATAAATAAAAATACGAGGCTAATACCACTAATATAATGTTAAATATATTATACAAAGCAAGTTGGTGTGGTCTGTTTACATTCGTGTCTAGGACTACTTGACTAAATTATTTCTGTGGTTAGCCTCGAGCTCAAACAATCTTTAACCATGATGGAGTTTTAATTTATTATTATTTTAGTTTAATTTTCTTCCCTAATCTCTTAACGGGTATGTATTCTATCCACTAATTCTTAGTTTGCATAAACCCCTAATCTTGTAGATAAAGATGCGTTGCATTATGAGAGTTGTGACGTCATGTGAACTAAGAATGGGTGGAAAGTGTGTGGATGATGTAAACAAACAAATGAAAACGTTCCTAAACAAACACACAGCATAAAACAAAGAAATTACCCAACCATTATGCAAATACTGTAACACTATTGCTCCTAAAATGGTCTGAACCCACTCTACTCTGATGACAATATGATTATTACCTACAGTACCACAAATGGCTAAATGCATGTGAATCTTACAATAGTGTTATTAAGAATTTATACAAATCATTGTAGGTTAATATGGAGTAATTATCATAGGAACAGTACTGACCACTTGTAAACTCTCCAAATATTATGAACACTTAATGTGGTTTATCATTTCCATCCCTGACAGTGCCATTGCTATGAATCCATCCAAAACAGTAGCGTGTGGGGAGAAGCAAGTGTGTTTGGTTGTGGGGTGTATATACATATTTAGCAAGGTTAGCCCTCATCAAACAAAAATGAAATAAATGATTAATCTACCAAGGATTTTATTAATTTTTATTTTTTACTGTAGAAATTATGATATATGAGAGGGTGTAATATGAGGCGTACAGAGCACAAGGGACGAACTCGCCAAAAGTGACATTTGAGATAACTGTACAAAAAGTACTTTCATTTTTGTATATTATTGGGCAATTTCAAAGAATCATATAAAAAATTTCACCTTGATAAGCCCACTTCAAATAAAGTAACTGAAAATATGCCTGGGGGAGGGGGGAAGACAAAGTTTCCAAAACAAATGCCCTCAAACTACCACAAATAATTTGCAGTCATAAAAATTTATATATAAATTAGGTACATGAAAGTAAATAAAAAATATATAATAGTCTCCAAATATGCTAATTGTATAATTTACAGATAATTTTATGTTTAATGTAATTACTCACAAAATTATTAATGAAGAGGATTATTATGGATGTATTCATTGAGAATAAGCACCATAGAGGTGGCAGATGAAGGCACCAGTGGTAGGGGGGACGTCATCTGGGTTGACCCCGCGAGGATGTCATCGTAGAACCTCTTATACTCGTCGTTATCCTACTTTATGAAATTCACAAGATCCTTGACATCTTGCAACTTCTCAGCAGACATTTTCACACGAGTGTTATACTTTGGAAGAAGAACAATGTTTGTGAGGTTGAAGGATTCCTTGCTATGTAGGCTGCTTTCACTATGTACAGTCAACCAAAGATGCGCTGACCCCACCTTGGGTCTAATACTCAATTTTACCTGGCAATACTTGGTGAAGTAAGGCTGTATAGTGAAGGTGATTGTGATTGGTGGATTTTTGGGGGGCTTTATCACTCAGGATAAATATAAAAAAATCCAAAGGTAGAGTTTTTATAATAATAAACTATTCATCATTATTTTAGATAATGAGAAGTTTCCAAATGTTTGTATATTTGCTCAAATAATGAAGAAAATTTGATGAGAATCTTGTGGCAGCTGTGGTTGTAGATGAGTTGCCAATTAATTAATAAAATTTTCTTCATTATTTAAGCAAATATACAAACATTTGGAAACTTCTCATGATCTAAAATAATGATGAACAGTTTATTATAAAAATGATACCTTTGGATTGTTTAATATTTATCCTGACCGTAATAAAGCCAAAAACAGATCCACCAATCACAATCACCTCTACAGACAGCCTTATTTTACCAAGTACCTGTGTTGCAAGGTAAAATTGCCAGTACGAGACCCAGGGTGGGGTCAGTGCATCTTTGGTGGACTCTACCCGTTTGAACTTTTCCCTGAACTGAAAAACCCTGCCTTCCCTGAACCCAAACTGGGTTAAAATGCAATAGGTGACAGTGCCTTGGAAAGCATCATAGTTCATGAACGACCCTCGTGTCATCCTGTGGACTTCAAAAGGGTTCTTCTTGCGCGAGTCCTTAATGAACTACATGTAATAGTCTAAGGTGTAGACAGGAACTTTTTTAATCTTCTGCTCAATATTTCCCAAATCCCTGTCACAGGGGAGTGGCTAGGGATCATTAAGTAATGATCAATGTAGATAAACCTTCAACTCATGTTTCTCGAGCAACGCAAAACATTATGGTTCTTTTTCTGACCACTGAAATTGTCTAAAAATATCACAAATTTCTTGATGTCTGGGCCCAAATGATCTATGTAGTAATCCAGGGTATTACAATTTCACATGACCCACGCTTCACTTCAGTTTTGTTCCAAACAACACAGTGAACTTTTCGGTTTTAATGTTAAAGACTCCCAAAGTAGTACATCCACTTCTTTTATAGTACATGTAGGCCAGTACTGAATTTTAGGGTGGGCAGAGTCTGCTGAAGGTCCATAAAAACGACAGCAAGTGTGTTGCCCTTATTGTGCACACAAGATCCTAGTAGTTTCTGCCCAACATTGCAAGGTGAAAAACTTTGCTTTCATTTATCACCCGTATTCTATCATTGTTCTGCCCCTCTACCAATGTTTCTAACTCCATAGTCATCTCATAGCATTTGTTGCAGTTATCACTCTTTGGGAGCTTGAAGCCAATGTTGTACCCAGTAAAGAACATTCTGAGAGTAGCACTTAGTAACCACTTCCCCACCTTTATTTTCTCTTTTCAATCATTCCACATAACTTTCATATGGTGTGTTGATGTTCAGTCCTGGTGAGGGCTCTTTGCACGTGAATAATGGAGACACAGTATACACAACTTATCGATGTGTTCGTTCACGAGCAGGCACCTGTTCCCAGACACCTTATTTCCTGGGGCTTTGTGCCCTCTCTGGTCACTTCGCACAGTCCCGGTTGCAGTTCCTTTGTCCAAAGCAACTCGAACATGCTTTTCAGACACACCATGATTACTTAGAAAAACAAATGCGACACACCTCTACAACCAGTCCCTCACTCGGCTTCTCTTCACAGACTCAGCACTCACACTAGAATAAAGATAAGCAGCCTGAGCACCATATTTCTGCAGGCCCCAGTAATTGTCAAAAATGACCTGAATATTATCACGGCCATTCTTGGAGAAGCACTGGTCTTGGCAGGTGCATGGATCACCCACACTGCGAGTTGTGACATAGCGGTCTTTCTTGGTGATGTAGGCCTGGCCACTGTTTCTTTTCTGCTTCCTAATGGTCGATTTTCACTTCTCTGGGTGCCTCTGATGCTTCCTAGTGATAGCCAGAGCTTCACCCTCATTATCATCACTGAGCTCATGGTGCCGCCAAAAATCAACAAAATCTGTGCAAAAAGTATGGGCACTGTGTTTACGCCAGCAGAGCAGGAGCTTGAGACAATAGACAGAATGATTGACCCAGAGCTCGCCTTGGCTGAAAACTGGCTACGTGGACCGGGGATTTCGTACCCTTTCCTCCCTCATGCCGCCACACTCAGTGTGGCAGCATCATGCATCAAAATACACAATTTCCTACCCTCACCAAACCCATTTCAAGGTCGCCGTTATCTTGGAAGCCTCTATCGTATTCTTGTGGAATCCACAGTAAACGGAAAATCAGGAAAGTGGCTCTATATGCCCCATATAGTATAAAATGGATTAAAATTTCCAGAACAGATAGTTTCTGTGATGCCTGGGACCTAACCCCAATTTCTCACCAGCAAGACAACCTTAAGTATAAATGAGTGGTACTGTGTGCTGTAAGGATATACAAAACTCATCACTCTACAGTCTACATTTTGGAAATAATCCCAACACACATTCCAGCCATCCACCAGAAAAGGTTGAACCCACATTTCAGTAACCTCCTGCACACTCGCACAATAAAAATAATTAGCTTTTGTTACCTATTACTTACATCAAATTGAAATGCAAAGTTATTAGGTGCAAAGGAAGGTACCCCAGGTGCTGCTTCTTCATGACTTAATGGTAGAGGGGCTTGGGAAGCCGCTGGTGAAGCTGGAAGAGGTTTCACCCCTAGATCATCCTCATCTACAACTTTCTTCCGTCTGGTTACCCGACTTCGAAGTGACTTCTTTACCTCAGTTTCTTTGTATTCTGTAATATAAGTTATCAATTACTGATTATTCCTTTATCTGTGATTTCCTTTATACAATGTATGGTGTCATGCACAATATACTGTGAAGTAAGTACATATTATCCCTTCGTAATTAAATATAAATGTAGGATTTTTCTTTAAATCCTAATTATTAGTTCAGCCAAGACCTAGGTAACTCCAGTACTGCACAATATTATAGCTCTAAGTCCCAGGTTATAAACCCAGTACATGAATAGCCATACTTCCCAAGAGATTTTTAGAAGTTGCCATCAAAGCCAAGAAGCACACACTCCTTCACCTAGATCAGCCATACTGGTATTGTCAGGCATCAATCCATTTAGTTCCAAGTGACTTCTGTTACCCAGCAAGACAAAGTTACTTTGGGCCCTTCAGTCTTTTGTCTGCCACTACTGTGAACATTTTATTCTCGTGCGCGCGGTTTTGGATATATGGCAATTTGATCACATAAGTCCCCCCTGTTGGTGCTTTGTACTGTACTTTACCATGACAAGTACTGTAAAAGTGGTAGTTAGTTGATTATGGTACCATTGGGGGGGGGGGCTAAGTCCATCAACCAACTTCCTTATAATCCATTCCATCCAAGGGTTAAACCTTTCAGTCCTAAGCTAGGTCTCTTTGTGTATCCCAGCCTGTTTTGTGTGTGTGTGTGTGTGTGTGTGTGTGTGTGTGGGGAGGGGGGTCGTCCTTACAAATTATCTAAACACATCATAATGTTAAAGCCATAAAACATGAAATTGCTGCAGTTTATTTACAATTCCTTAGAAGTATCGGTACTGTTTAATAGTTTGGGCCACTACATCTCCCTGTGCGGAGAGGTTTTTATACTCTAGTTAACCTCTACACCACTACTTCCACCAATATGAATCTATTTTTCCCCTGTTGCCACATTTCCCTTTACCAGACACAGGGGAATAACTCACAACTGCCAAATTTGCATCCAGATGAACATCCTTTCACCAGGGTGTTTATGGAGTAACTGAGCAGGCTTGATATTTTTGAGGGCGAAGTATTACTACTGGTGACATGACATTATAACTCACAGCAGCTACAAGATATTTGAAACTTGGTGGGAAAAATCAAGATGTATCTCATACATCCAAATGATTCTGGTACAAGTATCTGAGGAACCTCTGTAGAACTGGTGGTGCCAAGTGCACGGGGAACCTCTGTAGGACTGGTGATGCCAAGTGCACGAGGAACCTTTGTAGGACTGGTGGTGCCAAGTGCACGAGGAACCTCTGTAGGACTGGTGGTGCCAAGTGCATGAGGAACCTTTGTAGGACTGGTGGTGCCAAGTGCACGAGGAACTTTCGTAGGACTGGTGGTGCCAAGTGCACAAGGAACCTCTGTAGGACTGGTGGTGCCAAGTGCTCAAGGAACCTCTGTAGGACTGGTGGTGCCAAGTGCACGAGGAACTTTCGTAGGACTGGTGGTGCCAAGTGCACGAGGAACCTCTGTAGGACTGGTGGTGCCAAGTGCACGAGGAACTTTCGTAGGACTGGTGGTGCCAAGTGCACAAGAAACCTCTGTAGGACTGGTGGTGCCAAGTGCACGAGGAACTTTCGTAGGACTGGTGGTGCCAAGTGCACAAGGAACCTCTGTAGGACTGGTGGTGCCAAGTGCACGAGGAACTTTCGTAGGACTGGTGGTGCCAAGTGCACGAGGAACCTCTGTAGGATTCTAGTACCAAATATTTGAGGAGCCCCCTAAGTAAACCCCAATGAAGCCAAAGCAGCCACTGTGGATAACTACAGTACTGTATTTTATGAGCATAGTTATTCAAACATCTGTAATCACCATGATCATGTTTGAAGAGATGTTCCAGTTACAGACTTTATCCTGACCTTGCTTCATTAATAAACTTATTACCTAAAGATAAAGGTAATAAAATAATGAAGCCAACAATGAAATATGAGGTTGAAAACATCAAACAGCCGTTATTCTCAGCACCACCAAAAAGAAGCCGTGAAATACGAGCGATAAATATCTTAAATACGTACAGTAAAATGTTAATGAAGATGTTTTAATTAAAATGTTGTTTCATTCCTGCCGTTCCCACTCAGTACAGTGTACTCCTTCCTCGATCATGACATACAGTATACATATAACACTTTCTCCCGAACATGAACAGCGTTAATTCTAAAGGGAGAAATATATGCCTGGTTGGAGTAATTTTACAAAAGGGAAGCTAAGAAATAATCATTTCAAACATCAAGTTATAGTGATACAGTACATGTATCTCCGTTAGCTGGAACAATTGGTGCAGAGTTACTTCCGGAAATGAGAGATTTCCGGGTAACAAGACGACTCTCAAAGCCGAGAAGAAAAAACTCATCCCAGAAATTTTCCAGGTCGTAAAAACTAAAAAAATTCCTGGGAAGTTTCAGAAATTGCGCATTACATCATCTTTTGAACCCAGAAAAGTCTCCCCACATCCCCGGAATTTTCAAGCTACTGTAAAAATTTTCTTGGAATTTCCGGAAAATGCACCTGATTTTCATCTCTCAAACCCGGAAAAACTTCCCCATCTCTGGAATTTTTCAGGTACCAGGAAAATTTTATCTGAATTTTCTGGAAAATTGTTCCGAAAGCAAGAATTTTCAGGAAAATTCCGACTTCGGGAATGATTTTCAGAGAAAATTTAATTTCCAGCCATCGGGGAATTCCGGGTTTGAGGGATTCCGGCTAACAGAAATATTACTGTATTTATACAACTAGATTGTCTCCTTACACTGGGAAATAATAATATAAAAAATTAATAAATAACCATTACCAGACTTGACTGCCCTCCTTAATGATGCTCGGGTTCGTAGACCTCCTATGTTTTCCTGATTCCTTTCTAACTTCAGAAGCCTATCTCTCTTCTGCATCTCATTGGGGGTAACACTTGTGTGGGATCGGGATACCTTTGGACCTGATACACCAGGTGTAACCCCAGAGTGGAACTTTGGTATCCGCTGCATTGACGTTCCTGGCGTGACCCCAGTGTGAAATATGGGAACCTTTCGCATCGAACTCCCAGGAGTTCTTCCAGCTTTTCTAGACGAACTCACGAGGAATTTAAAAGTCGGCTTCTTTCCCGGAGTCTCGGTCACCGATGCCCCCTTGTGAAAAGAGAAAAACAATATTCAGATACAATGTGTGATGATCAATAGTTCTACAGAGAAAACCTCTGCTTCCTGATAAAAACTAACCATTGTCCCCAACACATCCTTCATTATCTTTCAGGGTTTAGACTTGATTTTGAGACCATTAATTAGTTTTTGTGGAATGTTTAATGTCATTTGATTACACCAGGGTTGGAAAAAATCATGATTAAAAAAAATATATATATCGATTTATTTGATTTAAATCGGATTTTTTAATTTAAATCAATTTTTTTACTAATTGCATTAAAATAGTATTTTAAACCATAAAACAGCATTTTTCAAGCAAAGCTTATTCAGGATAATAAACAGAAAATTGGCATTAAGATATTTATGCAGTAGATGTACCAATGGAATTTAACAATAATATTCTTTTTGTAAAATAAAAGAAAACTGGTAACATATCTTACATTTGAGTGCACAAATCCAAAAGTAATAATGAAATTTAACATAAATGCTCTGATAGGATTACAGTGTTTCAAAAATTAATAACTTAACTTCAAGTCAACAGAATAATATTCTCATTTTGTAAAAAATAATAATACTGGTAACAAGTTTATTTTCTTACATTTGTAGGATTATAGTGTATTAAGAATTACCAGTAATAACTTCGTCAACACAATATTCTCATTCTGTAAACAACAAAAATAGTTCAAAACATTTAAATTAGCTTAGTTGAACATTGAAATGCTTATGTACTGTGACAAGCTTAGATGCCTTTTCCTGTCCTAGGCGATTTCTTACCTTTGCGTGTACAAAATCAAATGTGGAAAAAATTCTCTCAACCCCTGCTGATGATGCAACAGCTGTAAATAATTGCCTAGGAACATCCATTACATTTTCTGTCATATTTGCAAAATACTGCCACCAAGCAAGGGGTGAGAGATTTTACAACTACTTTACCAAAATAGACCTCTTTAAATGGTGCACTTATTCCATGGAAGGACATTAATGTTGAAAGGAAATATGGAAGAGACTCGCACACATACTGTTCTGCAATGGCTCGCTGCTCAGGAGTCAGATGTCTGCCCTGATACCTTGGATCTATCACATTAGCTAGAAAATGGGCAGGTGTCAATGCTACTTTGACTCTTTTTTCAAAATTATCCATACCCTTCTTATCTGTTAAATACTCCATAATACCAGTTTTCAGTTTTACCCAGATTTCTACAGCATCACTTAATAGGGTATGTTCTCTCTGGACACAGTCCAATGCCACAGCAATAGGCTTAAGTCTCTCTAAATAGTATTCTGCAGTTCTTTTTAATGCCTTATTACTTTCCTTTCAATTTTCTTATCAATGTCTTCACTATTTTCTTTGCACACTTTGACAAGGGTCTCCCAGTTCTTTAAATAAGATTCAATAGAATCTGTCACTGTGTTCCATCGTGTGTCTGATGGCATTACTAGCATTGTTCTTCCTGCTCTTCTATACAAAGATCCTGGGATGTGATGATTTCTGAAGTACTTAATGATTTCAGTAAAGTGCTCCTTAATGTTCTTGATTTGCAGGTCTTGTGAAAGCAAATTTAACAGGTGTGCAGAGCAACCATATGTTATAATGGATTTATCTTGTCCGAATTCACTTCTCATTTTTGTCATATTAGCAGCATTATCTGTTACACAGCTTACTGTGCATCCAAATTTGTCTTCACACTTTTTTGTAGCACATTCAGCTAATTTCAACAGACATTCAGCTGTGTGTCTTGATTCTGTGTCTATAGAGTCAACAAGATAAATACAGTTGTCCGCTGTTAGTTATACATACTATAGGCTCATTATGGACATTACTCCATCCATCCATGGCCATGCAAACTGTTTTCCCACTAAGTTCTTCTGAATAATTCTTAATCACTGAATCGTAGGCTTGATCCAAAAGAGACCCTCCAATTCGATGTCTATAAGGTGGAACATATCCTGGTCTTAGCATTTTAATCATCTTGATAAACTAGTGCCTACAGCCTGTTCACTCTAGCTTTGCAAAAATTTACATCCCCTTGCTCCTTATTGACTGATATATAATGCCGGAAGAAGAGAATACTACAGTTCTTCTGAATTTCAATAGTATTTATTATCTTAGTTAACAATATATTTCATGTAAATATATACATTAATAATGAGACCTTATGATATGATCAAAGTTTCGCAAAACTGGAGAGAACAGACTATAGTACAGTACATAATTATGTAAATCCAAATAATGTTATTAGCCTGCTGCATTGCATATACTTTTCAATCATGTAGAATAAAAAGATAAAACAGTTATTAGTAAAAAAAATCATTTCGATTTAAATCGTGATTTTTTTATTCTGATTTAAATCATTTGATTTAAATCATGACAACCCTGGATTACACCCATACAAACAATTATTTTTTTCTCACTCATGCCTTGTCCCACTAAATGATATTTCCCTCCTAAGTAAAGGTCTCAAATATTTATCTTGATTCATTCTTCTTAGCATAACCGAAAAAAGTTATCGATTGTCAAACACAGAGGAAATGTTCTAAAATTCTCCCATGGTTGACAAGACTGTGGGTGGCAAGGGCTGGGTCTACTGGGTTTAGGACACTGTGGGGAATGTTAATTCATTGGTTCCCTGAACTTCAACATAAACCAACCCATGCATTGTGCAGTACTCTATCCTGAGCCACACCCCTAACTTTTATCATTCTTTTAAGAGAGAATATTGATCAGTGTATATAATTTTCCATAAAACCAATTAAAAAGGCATTTTCCGGTAAATTATACCATGAGACAAATGTGGGGATTATGCATATTTTTTTTTCTCTCCAGAATTCAAAGGTTTGTAGATTAGTTAATCATGAATTATAATCTATAGACAGGGTGAGATCTTCAGCATAGCTACAGCAGGGAAGGCCGTTCAAGCCGTCAGCAGAGGTGGGAAATACGAAGTTGTTCGCAGTCATATTTCCCGCCTTTGCTGACGGCCGTGCAATATTTCAATGGGATTCTGATCTTTTAAAATGTAGGTAATGAAGTAAAATCCTACAAAAGGTTAGAATGCAGTAATTATAATAAGTCACTCCACAGTTCAAACCAAAATACCGAAGTTGTTACCATGTCAATGTCTGAAGACACCAAAAATTTTGGTGCATCTGGTTGAAACACTCCAGTCTTAAATGTTGGCTGACGTCTTTTCTTTTCCTTGGCAAGATTCTTCTTTCTTGCCTCCTTCCACTTCAAAAGGTTTTCATAACGCTCCACTAAAAGTAAAAACAACCATAAATAAGTAATGATGTATTTTTCATTACCCCCCCAAAAAAAAAAAAAAAAAAAAAAAGGCTGTATAGTACTGTACACATTTTACAATGATATATATTCTAAATTTCTAATGCTTAAACAGTACAAAGGCACCAATCAAAACTAGTCTCCCAAAATTAATGTAACCTAATTAAGGTTAAGTTTTAAAGAAATGGCCTCATGTCTTTTTAATACAGTACAGTAGAGTGCGAGTGTATATACAGTGGGGTATGCTATAACGAATCTAATCGGTTCTAGAACCTTGTTCGTTATAGCACTCTTTTTCTTCTCAGCACCACGATAACTCTCACTTTTATGCTTGCCAGCCATTTTAAAGCGAATTACAAACAAATATTTTGTCAGTACAGAGCGCGATCACTAACAACGGCGGCCAAACACCAACTGAGCGGGCTACGACGTGGATGCTGTACACCAAGAGGTGGCCCAGCCCAAGCTATCGTACGGAGTCACAATACGACTAAACGTCGGGACCCAAAAATACATGTGAAAAATATTTTATACGACCATGGCCGTCAGGTATATGTATGTGTATGTATATGTATATGTGTGTGTGTATATATATATATATACTAGTCTGTACTCACCCCTGAAGAATGAATTAAGCAGGGAACCGTGTTTTCTTCTTTCCTTGTGGTTATCAGCATATATATATATATATATATATATATATATATATATATATATATATATATATATATATATATATATATATATATATATATATATATATATATATATATATATATACTACTGTATTAAAAAGAAATAAGCCAATTTTTTCAAACTTAACCTCAATTAGGACACACACACACAAAATACAGGTAAAAGAAATAATTGTCCTAAGGGCAAGCACAAAGGGAATATGCATTTCTTTGTACATAGATGCTTGTAAGAATTCAGAAATGGTTACAGCTGCATTACCCTTGAAGAGTTGGGTGTCTGCCGTACGGACGTTAATGGTCTCAGGTTGTCATCATCAGTACAGTACAGAGTAGTTATAGATTAACCTTTAATATTTAAAATATTATTTAATTAAAAATAATTTGTTTAAATAAGCAATAACATATTTTTTATTCTGGAGTTGGGTTAGGTAGAATTTATCCTACTGGAGACAGCAACGGGGGGGTCACATTAGCTTATGAAGGGCAGCAACTTCACATACTGTATAGGTTGATATTTTTTTACCCATTTTTCATAAGCAAAAAAAGTGCATCTTGTATGCCGTAAAGTACGGTAGACAACTGATTAATGAATATACAGTAAAAGTCCAAAAATCCGGATGCCAGAAATCCGGACCACCTGAGAATCCGGACTTCGAAAACTCAATTTTTTTTAAGCTGGCTTTTGTGTGTACCGTACGTGCACATGCATGAGCGCCACAGCTGCACAGCGACAACAAGCGACCATGCACAGTCGCCACTTTAAAACGAGCAATCAAACTGTGACAACGTATGTAATTTTGAGTCCTACTCTTTCCATTTACAGAGTACTGTACAAGCCCATAATAATGGCTCCTAAAGTAGATAAACTTCGGTGTGTGAAGAGAAAGAAGAACACGTTGAAATTGAGTGACAAACTTGAAATAATTAAGAAACTAGAACGTGGTGTGAGAAGTACTGTTCTAATGGAAACATACGACATTGGAAAGTCTACAATTTATAATATAAAAAAGGCAGAATAAAATTCTAGAATTCACAGCTTTTTCTTTAAAACTGCTCGTTTTGATAAATGAAGCATGCTATATTTGCTAATGAATAAACTATCAAAATGTACCTGTTCATCTCTTCTTTATTCTTCCTTAAATTTGAATTTTAAAAGTACTGCCTGAGAATCCGGAAAATCCGAAAATCCGGACCGACCTAATCCCCAAGCAGTCTGGATTTTTGGACTTCTACTGTACCATGGAATATGCAGATGCATAATACGGTACACTACAATATCACAAAGTGCTGAAGGCAGAGGTTGTGGTAAACATAAGAGATGGAGAGCGCTGTTAACGTGGTGAGGGTGTTGGGACAACCAGCTGTTCGTGCTTTGTAAACAAGGACCAGCAATTCAATATCATGCAATGACTCCTCTGGGGTTGATTGTTGGATTTTTTTTTTCCGGGAGCTGATTATTTTACGATGTTTTATCAATCTGGTATCAAAAGAACCTAGTATATAATACGAGAATTATGGTGAAATTGCAAAAAGACGTGTAACCCTTCCATAACATGTATCACCAAAACAAACAAAAACTAATAATAGTGTACACATAAAACAATTAAACAACACTCATATCATTAAGAAAACTGCTCACTTCAGTCACAAAAACAGAGCAAACAAAGATCACGTAAATACAATGATAGAGGGCGTCACTGCTCACATCATGTTTGTTATTGTCAATATATGCGCCACCAAGCGACCACCGGGTGCACTACAGTACGTACCAAGGTATGTTCTATGGTGATGCCACATAACCGCGATCATGTAAATGAACAATTATCGGTGTCCCCCCCCCCCTTTTTTTTCCAAACATGGAGGACATCACTAACATTCACATTGTACCCTGCTTTTGTGACGAGTTATTTTTGCTACATATGTTTTGTGACTGTAAAGTGCTTTGGCCAGATGATGACAAATGTTCATGCGGATTGTTTACACTGTAGATAGGGGGTGGTCTTAATACATCACCACCATCAAAGCAGAATATCATAGATTGGGGGATGCCTGTGCACTCATGTTTTACATCACATCTATTAGTCGACATTGTTTGCTCCTCTGTAACCCAGACTTTGCTATAGGGTGAAAAGTACATTACAAAATAGTAATCTCTACCTCAGAGTTTATCTAAGTCTGAGTTTCTTTTGCCTACTGTACTTACGTGGAAGTTCTTTCTTTGTCTTTTTTGGTTTATTACCAAAATTTTGTTTTGACAAAACACTTGTATTTCGAAGAGATTCCTCCGTGTCCACCACACGATCCAAGTTGTCCAACTGACGACGGTAAGCGATGGCATCGTAGCGCCGAGTTCTGCGTCCCTCTTGGTACTGCACAGCCCGTAATGCCCGAGAGTCTATAGCAGAATTAAACTGCAATCCTCGTTGTTTATACCTGAAAAAGGTTCAAGCTGTATGAAATTCCATTAAATTTCCTCAAAGTAAAATCACTCAAGTATATTCTACAGCACACTCATAACAATATAATGCAGGAGCAGCCAAACTTACAGTACTGTACTAAACAAGTCACATAATATATACCCGGTATATACAATAATAATTTTCATTAGTTCAAGAAATGCAAGACATGTGCAAACTTTACATATACTGTACAGTAGTTGCATTTTTCATTGCTACACATTTTAATGCATATAAAATTATACATACTGTATATAGATAGTACTAATAAAATAATACCTGTATATGAAAACAGCATTTATTGATGTAGCTACTGGTTATGATTGACGATATGATACAGTACTATCCCCATTAGCAGGAATCCCTCAAACCCAGAAATCTCTGATAGCCGGAATTTAAATTCTCGGAAAATTGTTCCCAAAGCCGGAATTTTCCAGAAAATTCCGGCCTTGGGAACGATTTTCCGAGGGGCATATTTTCCAGAAAATTCCGATAAATTTTTCCTGATACCCGGAAAATTCCCGGGATGGGGGAATTTTTTCCGGGTTTGAGAGATGAAAATCGGCTGCATTTTCTGGAAATTCAGAGAAAAAATTTCCTTTAACCGGAAAAATCCCAATGTAACAGTTGTCAACAGCTGGAATTCTACCGTCATACGTTGTCAACGGGCGAAGCAATTTGCCACATGTTGTCAACAGCTGGAATGGTCATCACCACGTTGTCAACTGCTGGAACAGTCTACCACTACATGTTATCAGATGAGAAACAGTAGAGATAAATTTGAGAAAAAATAAAATAAAATAAATTAGATCAGGCAGAGAAACTTGCCCACAGAGCACGTAGCTATCCAATGTCCGCCACAAGTCATATACTGTACTGCAGTTGTACTAAACGTAATGCTGGAGTTAGAGACTTAACAGACTCTTCCAGAATGTCATCTGTGAGTACCTGTGGCTAATATATAGAAGTTTCCAAGCACAGAACTCTATAATGATTCTTATATAGGGAGATAGACTAGAAAAGCATCAATGAACATTTTTAGGGTTTAGTTTTAGAATCAGGAGTTTAGGCAGTTCTAAGACTCGTTTCTTCTGTAGCATTTCATCCACAAATGATTACTTTCAGAGAAAATTGCAATAAATTATTGGAAATCATCGCAAGTATTTTTTTCTAAGTTCTTGTTTATGTTACCACCGCCCTAGAGCTCCTGTGTTCATTTGTTTGCTACTATGCTGCACTACACATGCATTAGTCTGACACATCCGCAGTTGTTCTTTGGACGTTGATTGGTGGGTATGATTTTGGATCAACCAATCACAGCTCGGTACAGGTCCCGGCCGCTACCCGCTTGAATTTGAATTAAGTTCCAAGATGTCTACTCTACCTTGTGCAATGGCTGTGATATGAATTACTTCCAAACCATTGCTAGATTTTACATCAATTATTACAGTAAAGACATATAAGTGTGGATATTTTGCTGTGATCAGCTAAGTTCCTACTAATGCTATATTACCATGAATGCGCTCCTATTGGCTAATCATCTGTTACTGGCAAACAACGCTAGAATGACATGTGACAGTGATTCTGGCAGCATTTGGAATTTATTTTGCCGTGAGTCAATCTTTGTGTAGCTATAAACACACCTAACTAGAAGTTGTTCGACTTCATTTTTACCTCAGATGTTCATATTATAAAGGGCAACATTTCCTAGAACCTAACAGTACCTGACCTAACCAACCAACCAACCAAAGAAGTCTACCTAACCTTACCTAACTTCCTCGCTCACGGTAAAATAGTTAGCAGGAACTTAGCCGGTCATGGCAAAATATCCTCTACGTTACGTGCACGAAGTGTAAGCATCCTTGTAGATACAAAGGTGAAAAACACCTTTGTACACCGGTGGATGACGAAGAGGACCCCACTGACCCCCAACTCCGAGTCTTCTGAGTCTAATTAAGGTAAGCACACAGGTGGATAGGTTAGGTTTAGGTTATGGATAATTCGAACCATTTTTATCGTAAATTATTATACTTCTTGGGATCCCCCCCCCCCCATACAAAACCCTTGTTTCCCACTGGGGTCCCCCATTACCGTTGGATAAGGGTCCAACTAATTACCCAAATGTTCCCAAATGTAGCCAAATGTAGCCGCAATGAAGTCAAATAATGGTCCTAGATGAATAAATCGGACTGCCAATCTATTCTCGACTAGTATTTGGTGTCACAAAGTCACAAAAAATTGGTAAACTTAATTTAATCTGAGTTAATAGATCGAGTGCATGTACCTAACCTAACCTAACCTCGACTAGTATTTGGTGTCACGAAGTAAAAAAAAATTGGTAAACTTAATTTAATCTGAGTTAATAGATCAAGTGCATGTACCTAACCTAACCTAACCTAACCTAATCTATTCTATTCTAATCTAACCTAACCTAACACAACACAACTCAGATTAAATTAAGTTTACCAATTTTTTTTTACTTTATGACACCAAATAATAATCGAGAAGTGATTGGCAGTCCGATTTATTCATCTAGGACCATTATTTGACTTCATTCCGGCTATATTTGGCTACAATTGGGTAATTAGTTGGACCGTTGGATAAGGGTTAGCTAAATAGTAGTGATTTATGGAACGTTAGTTGAAATGAAGGTCAAATTCGTTCAAAACACATCAAAAACAATCGGAAAAACATAATTCCTACTTCCAAACAGGTTGATAACAGAAACGATAAATAAAAAATAAATCAACCTTTAAAAATTACGATAGTCTTGTGAAATGGAGTTGGGGTCATCGAGTTCATGAACATAGCTTAAATTAATTATCACGCGTCTCAATTTTACGTAAATAAAAGGAAGACAAAACCTCAACTTTATATAAATAAAAGTTATTAATAAACTCGTATTTAATCATCCAGAGAAACATTGAAAGATAAGTTAAAGTAGGAACAAAGAACTGTGGCCCTACAAGTCTTCCTCACTTCACTTATACTATCAGTTTAGTTCAACGTTCAATATAAGGCCTGGAAATTAATAAATATATAAGAATTAAGTTGAATTAATCTACCTGTTGTGATCCATTGTTAATACTTCAATAACACTTCCTCACTCGACTGTCTCCCTGTTTGAACTGGCCAATGGCGAGAGAGGGAGTAGGAGGTAGGTGAATGTCTCAATGCGCAGTTGTGTTTATTTCATCCCTTTATCAGTTTATTATAGATTATTAAGTATATTTAAAGTACTATCAACATCAATAGTAATTATAAGTTATTTCATTAGTAGAAACATTCACAATAAGGCTCATAGAATAGTAACAGAGACGTGACCGATCGCCCAAGCGGCACACGAGCTGATCAATGGTGAAGAGGATAAAAGTAAAGTGGATTTGTTTTGGTGATTCCTGGCCACTTCGCCTTTCGGCCAGACCTTACTTATACAGATAATACATACAGGTAACATAAGGTGAAGAGCCAAAAGAGGTTTGCGTCCGAAGAAAATCAGACAGGAACGTCATCACTGAATGAAAAAAGACTGCAAATGCCAATGATCTATTGAAACCTTAAACCCATCCAGTCACTTTAGACTGGGAAGGCTGTTGTAATGAGATTGTTCACCTAAGTATTTGAAAAGTCTCCCTGTGAACTACTATAAGTATTGGTCCACACTATCACGCAGACAAGCTGCATAATTGAGTTTATAATATTTACCATGCGAATGTTAAAAACGTTACACAAACTGGGAAGCAAATGAATAAGTGCTAATATGAGCAAAATGTTCAAGAGATATATAATTATGTCATAATTAGGGATGAGGGGGGTAATTACAGAAATAGGGTGGCCAGATGAAGGCAGAGACTGAATGTGAGATGTTGACAATGAGCTGAAGTTCTCGGGCCATTGCGAGAAGGTAAATCAGTCAAATAAATTATTGGGTCTTCAAGAGTGAAATGCTTCCCCATCTGGAGTACTGTCACCCTGTTTGGTCCCCGAGATATGCTAGGGACTGTCAGTTGGTTGAAAATGTTCGAAGGAGGGCCACCAGACTGTTGCCTGCACTTCAGCACCTCAGCTACCCTGAGAGATTGGAGCGCCTGAACTCGCCACGCTTATACTACAGACGGGCAAGGGGTGACCTAATTGAGGTGTATAAGCATCTCAACGGGCACTACTCTCTCGAGTGTCCTTACTTGGAGCTGGCGAACTCTCGCCCCACAAGGGGTCACAGATCAAGATTGAAGAAGCCGCAAGTCCAGAAAACTGTGAGGGCAAACTTTTTCGGAGTGAGAGTTGTGAACTCTTGGAACAATCTACCAGGTTCAGGTACATTCAGGAGCCGGTGCATGCCCAGTACTTGCCAACAGTGTGTAACAGAGACGTGACCGATCGCCCAAGCGGCTAACGAGCCGATTAGTAGTGAAGAGGATAAGAGTAAAGTAAAAGTTACCTTCCCAGCCGTGTTGCGGTTGGGACTCGAACCCAGGACATATTTATGAGCGATGAACATTTTACCACTGTTCACTGTACCATACCCATTAACATTTCCAACATGGATGTACAGTATAAGACTCGAATAAATATATTTTCTGTTATTAGAAGTAATTTACTATTATATAAGAGCCATTAACTCGGTTTACTGTTGCCTGCACCATGGCACCTTAGTTATCCAGAGATAAGAACGCCTGCAACTGCTTATCTTATGCTACAGACGAGCAGGTCGAGTGTCCATACCTGAAGCTAACGCCTGCCGCATATGGGGTCACAGCTCAACGTTGAAAAAGACCACAGGGCAGTGTATTGAGGCCACTGTTGTTTGTTTGCTTCATAAATGACATGCCAGAAGATGTACATTCCTCCATACAAATGCTTGTGGATGCTGCCAAGTTATTTCGGAAAATTAAGAACCAAGCAGACTGTGAAGAGCTGCAGAAGGATCTCTGTGGGCTCCAAGAATGGTCAAAGAAATGGCTGCAAAGATTCAATGTCACGAAGTGTAAGAGGCTGCACCTGGGGCGTACCAAAGATAAGGAGGCGTATCATATGTCCCAACGGGACATAGAAACTGCAGTAATTGAAACTCTGAAAAGAACTACGTATGTATGTTGAAAATGAACTGAAGTTCTTGGGCCATTGTGAGAAGGTGAATCAGGCAACTAAATTATTAGGTCTTATAAGAAAGTCGTTCAGATATCTAGACAGTCCGTCCCTCGTAGCGATCTTCAAGAGAGAGGTGCTTCCCCGTCTGGAGTACTGTCACCCTGTCTGGTCCCCGAGATATGATAGGGTCTGTCAGTTGATTGAAAATGTCCAAAGGAGGGCCACCAGGCTGGTGCCAGCACTTCAGCACCTCAGCCACCCTGAGAGATTAGAGCGCCTGCAATTCTAGCTTACATTACAGACAGGCAAGGGGGGACCTAATTGAGGTGTATAAACATTTCAAAAGGCACTACTCAGTTGAGTGTCCTTACCTGGAGCTGGTTGACGCTTGCCCCACAAGGGGTCGCAGCTCAAGGTTGAAGAAGCCGCAAGTCCAGAAAACTGTGAGGGGTAACTTTTTCGGAGTGAGTTGTGAACTCTTGGAACAATCTGCCAGAGTATTGTGATGGCACCGAGTGTTAGCCGTTTCAAGATCAGACTTGACCAACACTGGAGCAGGTTCAGATACATTCAGGAGCCAGTTCATGCCCAGTACTTGCCAACAATGCATGACAAACATGACCAACCGCCAAAGTGGCTAACCAGCCGATCAGTGCCGAAGAGGATAAAAGTAAATTAACAAGTCCACTGCACATGTCAGGTTGTCACTTATCAGTGTCAGACCCCTATCCCTATGTTTATCAATATCTCAGTCACACCACCCATGCCCGTCACATCACCCATGTTTCACTCACACCACCCATGCTTGAGTCACATCACCCATGCCTCAGGCACACCTCCCATGTTTAAATCCTACTTTTTTCAGGGAACTTTTGTTTAAAATTTTATAGAGTAATTGAGGTAACTTATGGTAAGGCAGTGAGTGACAAAGGCTGAGTGTTAACTATCTAACAGTTCATTTAACGATCAATATATTTGTAGTCAATACATTACACAATATCTCGGAGACTGTCTATGCATAATCTTGGTCACACATTCCAATGGTTACAGATCCTTACATGTTGAAACACACACACACAGTAGAAAAGAATTGTTCAAGACCTCAATAGAAGAGTTACCATTTTCCAAATATGTATCTATAGTAAATGGTATTTCTCCCCTACCCTTTCTTATCCATGATGGTATCTGTCAGCTCACTGGATACCTCACCTTACTTATTTTTCAGCACATAGCACAGGTTCCATTTTGTGACAACAGGGTATTCCTACACATGCGCTTACAACCCAAACACTGTCTTTTACGTGGTACAGTACATTCATGAACCCAAATATGTTCAGTAACTACTAAAAGTGTGGAACAGAGAACTGACTGACACCCAAATGCCTTATGAGCTGACAAAGGGCAAGGGGATAGAGTTAAATAAAGTAAAAACATTACATGTTTTGGATTCAATTTGTGCTGATTTTAGTAGCAGTTTGTTAATTTTGTATTTTCTTCTGGTAAGGGATTGGGAGTGCTGGTGGCCATATACTCTTACTTTAGCTTTTATCCTGTATTATATTGTCAGTTTGGGGGGAGGAAGTAATAATAGTACAGCTTACTTCATTTTACTCTTATCTCTTTACACCTGGTTAACTTACTAGCTGGTCAGTTCATTAATTCTCTTACGCACTGTTGGCATATACTGTACCGGGCATCACAGGCATCTACATAATTTTTTTCCAGGGCTCAATTTCAAAACCAAAGGATGATGGACATGTTTACAGTTATTCCATTACAGTTAAGAGGAGAGGAATAAGATAGATGTGCCTCTTTATGGCATAAAATGTTGTAGACTTTAACCCAATATTCAACACTGAATTGTTATATATTACACATTTTGGTAATTTCTATGGAGGATGTTCTTTATTTTATATATGGGAAGTGATTCATTTAACATGTTCCTTATGATTTGGACCCTTGTGTTTATCCCCATGACCAATCTTACCTTAAACTGTACTTTACTTTATCCTCTTCATCATTGATCGGCCTCATAGCTGCTTGACCAGTCAGTTATTTCTGTTGGCAAGTACATACTAAGTAGAAGTACAGGTATTTATAGCTATAAAAGAATATTTCATATGACTACAAATAACATTATTGTAGCATACACTGTACTAACATATATATGTAACCATTCTTTTCAATTTCCATAAAACCAAAAACCAATTGCAATATCCTATGTTATATTTACATTAGGGTAGTGGGTACTGGGTAGTGATTCAGTGTCATTTGGCCCCCTTGTTCTTTGTAGTACACAACACTATCAGCCTTTTTTCAGATTTTCTATGATAATTATACAGTATACCGGGTACCTTTTTTATATTTAAAATATGGTACTGTTACGTTCATTGGATTTTCAACATCTACATTCCACTTTATAAACCTTTGTTTCTTAACCATTGCAACCTAATATTTTACTCATTCATCACTTTTCCATATCTTTTACAGAACTTTCAATTATTAAAATGATAAAAGAAATACCCTTCTATGACATACAACATAAAAGGCATTTCTTTATCCTTAAGAAATACTTACTGTATATCTATAAAATTAAAAATAACTTTTCCAGAATTTAAAAAAATAAATAAAAATATTAAGGATTATAAAAATCATTATTTTTTTCAACAATTTTAAAAACACATATCTCACAAGTTCTCATACACTTTCATTTCAATACATTGATCAACAACTTTCTCATTCTTGCAAGCCCTTTCATAGGGTCCTGAAATAAAGAGCATTACAATTGCACCCTCTTAAGCTGCAATTCATTCTAGCTTACCTGTCAGTTCTGGCATGGTGCTCCTCTTCTACAACAAGGCCTCAGGATATCTATCTGATTTATCCCCTGAGCCTCATCTATACCTCATCACCACTCAAAGTCATGATTTCTGTCTCCCTCCCTACTAATAGCTCCCACACCCTATCCTCAGTCTCATTTCACTTCTTAGTAATCTCTCACTTCCCATTCCCTCATTATGTTCAATACCATCTTAGCAATCACTGGTCAGCTTTCTGTTCAACTATCCTTTCACATTAACAAAACTTTTATTTGTGCTTTGTAAATAAATTATTAATCTTCACTATCATCGCTACCATCTCCAAAATCATCAACTTGCTCATCATCTGATTCAAAGTCTGACAGTTTCATCTCTTTCACCACATCATCTTCTTCATGAGCAATGTCCATGTTATCCATTTCTTCACCAATGTCTCCTATTGCAGTCTTCTTTTTCTTTCTTGGTGGTTTACCTGTGTCTTCGTCTTCATCATCATCATCTTCATCCTCCTCTTCCTTGACATCATCTTCTTCATCTGGACTCTCATCATGTCCATCTTCCAATTCTGGATTGTCTTTACCTTTCTTATTTTTCAGCTTGGTACGTTCACTCTTTGACAGGAACCTGAAGAATAAAAACTTGGGAGTTAAAAAGTATATAACTTCATTAAGGTAAAATTTAATAAAGCCCTTCAATCTTTGCAGTCAAAATAACTGTGACTGGGAAATAGTAATGATGGAAATAAAGGAATTGATCCTGAAATCCTATGTTATGGTCATAGGTAAACCAAAGACTCATGATACAATGGTTCCTTGACAAAACCATCTGTTATTATGTGCTCTGAGTACTGTGGTGGACACTACATAATGGTTGTCCCCCATGTTTGATGCTGACTGGGTCTAGACCACTTAAGTGCGAATTTCGTTAAGGTGTATAAACTATTTGCTGATGCCAACACAACAACAACATCCTGAGTTAACAAGCTGTATAACCCAGTGTCAAGGAATAATCCAAGAAGACTCTACAATTCACCAACTGCACTGGCTAACCATTACCCCGGAACACGATCCATTGATAGATTAACATCCAGGTTCCCAATTACTGCTGGGTAAACAGAAGCAATTGGAGCAAAGAAAAACTTGTCCATAATTTCACTCTGTCTGGGGATCTAATCCAGGTCCACTAACTCGCAAGGCAAGCATTGTATACAAGTTACCCGATTACTACTTACTGTACAGTTTGCAATAAACACTCAGAATTGAGAACACACAATTGACATAACATAAGGTTCTTCTGTAATGTTTACACAACTCAATGTAACATCCCTTTTTCTTAATATCATATACTATTCCTTTTACTTTACATAAACATAACTCTCATATGTGGTTCTTTTAAGTGTGTGTGTACTGTATATATATATCTATCTATCTCTCTCTCTCTCTACACACACACATATATATATATATATTGGAGTGTGTATGTTCAGACCTGTATTTAATATTTATGTACAATTAAGTGTAAGAGTAGGGTCTGGGAAAAGGGGGGGTTGGAGTGCACCCAGTGCAAATCACCCAGGCCTGTATTTTCCACACATACAAAATTGAAAGGTCCTCCATCTCTCTCTCTCAAAAGAAGCATCATTTCTTGCCATGTTCACTGAACCAAACTATAGCATTTTGAAATACATGGAGGTTATAATAGAGCTGGCGAGCTTAAAAGAAAGTCTTAAAAGTGAAAAAAATACTTCACACAATTGGGAGGATGAGGGGCCCAGGGGAACTAGGGCCCAGGATCTCTCTCCCAAGCCCTGTGTAAGTGTAAATGTATACACTTACATCAGAGGCAATTTTTTCTTTATATGTTCAGTTCAATAAAATACAATTTTAGTTTACAACTCTTAAGAATGTAAGGAACTTGGTTGTTAATGCCAACTATATTTTTCAGTTATTGAAGCTTGTAAAAAGTTAAACCCTAAAGTGTATGTGAGTGTATCCAGACACTTGTATTACTGCACCAATATGTCTGTTATACTATGACACCTTATAAATATATAAAGTACAGTACAGTAATTAGAATAGCTGAAGAATTTTTAATTTGCACCACAGGGTAAATTAATAGTGTGTTAAATCACTAAAGTGGTGACCACACATTCAGCCTTGGGGGAGTTGTGTCAGACATGATCAAGGTGACAACTACTGGTAGATGGTCACCATTTGGGGGTAGACTTACTGAACAAGTGTTGGCTCAAAACATGAATTTTGGGCTGAAAAATCAATGATTGACTAATTCACCATCTACACACTTCACTCGAATTACGACACCCCCTGAGTCTGATGAAACGCAGTCCAGGAAGTTGTTCAGACTCAAAGTAATTTATATTTTGTCAAAAAGTGTTTTGAAATTGTTAAGTTTGTGTTGAAGTGAGGTGCACGGAGTCTGGTCAATACCAGACAATGTTCCCAATATCCAGATAATAAGATGTCCATTATTGGGAATATCCAGTGCAAACAGGGTAATGAAAATCCCATTACTGAGAGTTTACTGTACTGTATATATGTGGCAAAAAACTATAAATAAAATAAAAATTACCTTGTTTCATCATCAGTATCCTCATCATCATCTTCATCGGATGCAAAGAGTTCTTTCAACTCATCCTTATCCTTAGCTTTTTGTTTCTCAATTAGTTCACGTTTTCTTACTACAGGCAGGTTGTAGTCATCCATCTCTACCCGGTTGGAAATACGTCTTAGATGTTCCTTTTCACGTACTTTTAGCCAACTGACGTGATAGGTTGAGAGAGGGGTACCTGCCTGCTTCACTGCAATCTGTAGGTATTATAAAAAAAATAGTAGATAAAAAGCAATACAAATTCTAAGAAGAAAATTATATTACACATCACTTGTAAGTAAGATAAAGATATAAATCAAAATGGCATCCAAATTATTATGAGAAATCAAACAAAAGCATTTCTCCAAGGTAAATATTGTAATTTTGTTTCATACTGTATGTTTTATCTGGTACTGTATATATGGTTACCTATACTGTACTTCAAAACTTGACTTCACTGCTATTGTACAGTAATAGTGGTGACACTTACCTCCCAATCTTTTACAGACTTTTTGTCAGCAATGCCAAAAGTAGCATCTTTTCTCTTTGACTCAATAAAATTCTGGTTTTCTTTTATTTTCTCTAACAACTGCTTTATCTTCTTGGTGTAGTTTGGTACTTTACACATCTTTAAAAATGACTTGAGCTGAAAATTTTAAAACATAAAGTAAATTATAAAATCTATGCAAGTAACTGTTTTACAGGGTAAACATTTTATGGCAGAGGGAAGATGAGGGTGTAACACATGAGTCATCAACCAAGATAAAGACTTAAATAGAAATAGCACACAACATCTGAGTGTTAGATGATGTGTGGAGGTGAATCTAGCAGCCTGTATATGGATCATTCACTTCACAGTCAACATTTATAGTTAATTTGTCATAAGTTAATCTCTAATCTCAATCCTCACCAATTTTTGGACACAAGAGGACCGGTATTTTGAAGCCCTTAACTGACTTGGGTATGAAGCTGTTTGCACCATAGACATTGTTTGCATGGCTGTTTATCCTGCCACTAATACATCAAAGCCCTCTGGCAAAGTCAGTCTCTGTTCAGGAGTTCAGTAGTGTTAGATCTCAAAGCTCACTCACTTCCATCCCTTCAGCAATTTAAAAAGAGTTTCACACTTAAAATTTTCACTTTAACTCCTTCTAGTCCTATGATCCATGATTCACAATGCAGTTAGGTCAAACTTTCAGATTTGAGTCAAACCATGTTGGAAGGTTCGAGTCATCCTCAATGAATATCACCACAATCATATGTCAGCTTCTTTAATTTCTGTTAGGTACAGTCACCCACAAAAGTCCTGCCGTCTCTCCAGTTGCTCCATAAACCTCGAGATTCAGACTTGTGAATCCAAAGCAATAGATGCTCATGCATCATTCTATCCATAAAGCTTCAGATTCAAGAGTCTGAATCTTGGGGTTTGTGGTTCAGGAGCAGAGGTGACAGGAGTTTTGTTGGTGACTGTACCATCTAAACATCTAGCATAGCTTTCAGATAGTGTCTCTCTGGAATAGGTCCAAAATACCCTTACTGTCATACACCATGCACACTACTGTATATAATTTTTGTTTTGTTTTATATACTGTATATACTAATGTAAACTAGAAGAAGGTTATACAACTAACCTGTAGAGTTGCAGGAACAACCAGCTCTGGGAAGCCAATAGAGGAACTTTCTACGCTCAAGTAATTAATAATGCCGTCATACACCTGGTCCACAACACCGTCTTTGAAGGCTGATTCTGCCATCTCGGCCCGTGAGAGCCTCAGCATACATAGCCAATCAAATGGTTTAATGGAAGCTTTTTTGTGTTTCTTCTCCAGATGGGCTTTGTTCAGGATCTGAATTAAAGAAAAGAAAATATATGCACTACTGTATTTCAATAATAATAATAATGATGATAATAATATCTCTGTCAGCTGGAATCCCTCTTAACCGGAACTGAAATTTTCTCAGAAAATTCCGGCTTTGGGAATGATTTTCCGAGGATCACATTTTCTGGAAAATTCCAAGAAAATTTTCCCAGTAGCCGGAAAATTCTGGGGATGGGGGAGTTTTTTTCCGGTTTTGAAAGAATCATCTCGTTACCTGGAAATCTCTCATTCCCAGAAGTGCTCTACACCAATTGTTCCGTCTAACGGAGATATTGCTGTAATAATAGTAATACAGGTAATAATAATAATAATAATAATAACAAATGATAATAATAATTCATAATAATAATAATAATAATTTGATACAGTAATAACAATGCTATTATTATTATTAATAGTAGTCATAATAGAGGGTGTGGATCCTTTACCCATAATTCCAAAAAGATCCCAAATCCTGAAGCTTTATTAAAGACCCAACTTATCCACAAGGCCACAGCAGAAACAGAATGTGTGTGTTCTGCAGAGGGTGACTGAGACCTAGGGTGAATCATCAGGTGTAAACAGTAGGTAAACGAGGTTAAAATATTCACTAACAGGAACATCTCACTTCATACTCACAACAAAGCTCTTCCCAGTGAGCTTTTCTGTTTTAAGGGGACTTTCTTACAGGGGCAGATCCAGGGGGTTCCTGGGCACCCGGAACCCCTCTTTTCATCAGAAAATTCCAATACTATTTCTTTAATGCAGTATTGTACTCAGGCAATTTGATATAGTAAAAACTAATTACTATTGACCTCTGAATATCTCCTAATATCAAGTGCACATTGCTTTAAAATTACCTTAAAATGCTCATGATATTGATCAGATTAAAAAAAATAAATAAATCGGGGACAGAGTGCTCACCATGTTCCCCCACCTACAACTTCTTAGACCTTACCCCCCATTTTGATATTCCTGGATCACATGGGATATTCTTTGGGACCTTATTATTAAAAGTTGGGGATAATGTGATTCCAGGATTAAACTTATTTGGTTTGTAGACTGCAGTCACAAATTGTGGACCGGGAGCCCGAGGTAATGAATGACCTGTAGACTGGCTGGGTATACAGAGTTGCTCGATCCAAACAGTGGTTATAAAAGGGGATTCTTGGACCAATGCTTCATTTTGTCCAAGGTATTTTCACCACTGGAAACAATAAAACTAACATTTGCTCTTATTTTTCCTCTTTTCTTCTGTGAACTTTGGATGGAATAATATGCCTGCAGGAACATTGACTGAGCAATGATGTTTAGAGACAATGGAGGATTTAAAAGAGGTTTGGCTAACAAGAAGCTGGAGATGATAGAGGTAGAGTGAGAATAGGTAAGAAAGAGACAAAGATAACATGCTAAAACAATCTTCTGTAATTTTACTTATTTTCTCCTTGACTTGGACTTCTCTGTTACTCATGCTGTATGCAAATTTGACCCAAACACTCAAATTAACTTAACAAGATGATAACTAAAATGTGAAAATAGGTATTAAGTAGTGGTGAGAGAGAGATGCTTTTAACCGTCAAGTAAATGTATTATGCATGAGTGAGAAACGATACCAAGGTGAATTTGTTAACGTTTACTCAATTCAAAGTAACACAGTGAACCAAAATTATATTGAAACACTTTAAATAGCTGTATTTTGTAGACAGCATAACCAATTTGAATTATATATTTTTTTAAATTTTACAGCTAAAACATACACTTAGCTTTTCAATATGTTGCAGATTAACTGGTAACCTTAATATATATACTCAGTAAAATATCTAAGATACAGCACTTTAAAGTATTTATATGTAATTCTGACTCATCCTGGACACTACATACCTCCAGTAAGAAAGGAAGGACTGGTATGAATGTTCCAGTATGTCGTGAGAGGTCTGTTAAGATCCCACACACATGGAACACCAGTGGGTAAAAGGCAGGTGAAGGCTGGAGTTTCATTGTTCCCATAGCAATCTGCAGAGAAAAATTAAAAATAAATTTTCAACATAACAACGATACATCAATGTCATGGCTAAGGTAATAGTCATTGTACTGTACATGGGACTCCTGAGTTATAACTGGGGTTTGTTTTTTAAAAAACGATCATTAGTCAAATGAGAGTAACTCAAAAACATTTTAACATAGGTTCAATGGAGTTATGTTTTTTGGAGACCAGAAAAGTCTTCTTTTTTTGTCTACAGTTCATAGCCACAATGGAATATATAAGCTGATAACCATTACAAGGTAATACAATTATCCTGCACTACTAGAAACATAAATAAAAAGAAAATACACAGGAAAAACAAATAAAGAAAAATATTGTGTGTAAAACTTGCCAATCCACTCCCTACCAGGATCCAGGTGTCCTAAACAACACCACAAAGACCATTACTGACTGGTAAACACTGGGCATTCACAGCCAGTCTCACAATTATTGTTCCTAAAACAGTTGCTTGTATGTGCGACTGTGAACACCGACCACTCAATGAATATTTTATGACATTTCACATTCTCAAACTGTCATAAAATAGAGTGACTTGAATGTGGACAAGCAATACAATAATAATGATTGGGCCCAGAGTTGGCACATTGATCACTCCGGGACAAGTGACAAAAGAGTTGCATCTCCAAAGATGACCATCAGGTTTGGTGGCGGAGAGTGTTGATCGCAGGGGCAATCTTTAAACTGGGAGTGACTGGTTATAACTCGGGGATGGGGTATAATTATGATTACGGTGTTGAAGTGAATGATCGAAGCACAAGACATCGTAACTTGGGGGTAACCTGTAAGTTTCCTTGACTGCATCAGAGAAAAGTATCTATGGTTCAATCCTCACTGCACAATAATTATCTATATTATCTGACCTCAATAGGGCTGGCTCCTGCCAGAATTATCACAAAAACCTCGGGGTTTAAAAGTTATCATACCAAGGTAATTTATTTCTACAACTTTACACAAGATTTATACAAGTAGCAATAATTCACTTTCACATACTCATTCCCAATCATGCTATAAGCCCAGTATAACAAAAGTGAAACAGTGTATCGACTGGGGACCTTACCAGATAAGTCACTACAATCCCTGTAAATTTAAAAGCACAATAACTTTCAATATTCGGTTACTGTCCCTGTGATTATCAAAGCTTATGGCTGGCCCTCAATATAGAAGTGAGGTGAAAATATAAATCGGACCACCTCAATGTGCACTAGTCACTGTACATTGAGCAATTACTTCCACACCATGGCAACATGCGTACGTATTGTCAGACAGTCTTGGGTAGGGACTTAAAAACATGTGCTGTACTAACCTCTAATCAGGCAACAAAGAGGATTTCCTATACAGAATATTAATTCATTTTCTACTTTATAATTACAGTACTTTCCTATTGAAGGATTCTATTATATAAACAGATGTTTTATTAGACCTAGTATAAACTCATATGCAGTACAGTACATGTTAAAATAATAAACAACTCCTGATTTATGTACTGCACAGCCCTGTAAATGTATTCAATGCATATTATATCATTATGTCTAAATTAAATGTAAGTCTGTATATTTTCAGCCACCGGCTGCAACTCTAATAATAAACCGTTTATTATTATTATTATTATTATTTATGATCCACCTGCAGTCAGCAACTAGGTTCCCTCCTTATACACTAACATTCGCACACTTGGTGTACCTTGTTATACAATACAGTACAGCACCAGCTTCCAGTCAAGTGGGAGGGTAATTCACTTATTGCTGTACAGTACAGTATACAGGGGTACTAAGAATCAGGGGGTGAATACTATATTATAGCATGGTAAACAGTATGAACAGATGGTGTTCTGTGTTTCTATAAATGGTTCAGTCATTTTAATGCAGTTGTCTGGAAAGTTACTTCATCTACCCAATCATTAGCAAAATCAGGAGCAAACCTGTATTATGTCAAAAAGTGAGTGTATCCACAGGATAAGCTGTAAAGGTGTCTGTTACTTACCTGTGTAAGGGGGTAGATGATAGGCTCAAGGGCAGGACTAGGGTGAGTCTTGGCCAGAAGATCAGCCCATAGATGCAGACAATGGATGTACTGCCAGTTGTATACCAGTTGCACTCGTTCCTGATGAACAACATGCATTGTAATCCTTATTACATATAACAAAAAGGTATATAAAGTGTACAGTATAATACTTTCCATGTATTAGTTCTAGCTAACAGTAATTACTTAAAAGTTTATTGTCTTTATACATCATAGATTACTTAGTGTTTTAGTGCTATACTGTAGGCTACTCAAAATATAAAATATTTTCCATGTACTGTAAAGTACACTAACCCACAAAAGTGCTGTTGCATCTCCTCCTGAACCATGATCCCTTAGATACTGACTCATGAATCCGAAGCATTTAAGGACAGGATAATGCATGTGTCTACTGCTTCAGGTTCACAAGACTGAATCTCAGGTTTGTTGAACAGCATGAGAGGCAACAGGACTTTTGTGGGTGACTGGACATAAGAATAAATTTCACAATGACAAAATTTTGCTTCATAAACTGGAATCTGTTCTATAAATTTTGCAACCTGTAATTGTCTGTAAGTTGATCTTTCAAAAAGCAAGAGTTGCCTGTCTTCATGGGTCACCCTGAACTGACACCAAGTTAGGAAAAGTCTTTTGTTTTAGAGCTGTCCTTTACATTATTAATTTGATTAATTTCAACAACATACATGCTACCATTAAGCCGAGTCATAAATCAGTCAGTGGGGATCAGAAGGACAAATCAACCAAAATTCAAGTTTCACGATACAGCACGAGCGGTTTTGTTTCATGCACATTAGATTGTATGTATCTCTGTAACATACCAAATGAAATGAATGGAACTGGTCTCAAATAATAGATAATTTGGCACACTTTCATAATACAGTGGTCCCTCGGTTAACGAGCACAATCCGTTCTAGAAGGTTGCTCGTTAACCGAAAAACTCGTTAACCGAAACCATTGTTTCAATGGGTTTTTGGGTAATTGGTTCCAGCTCACCAAAAATTGCCTAAATTCAACAAAAAAGGTAGAAAAGTACACTTACTTTGAGGTGTGTATGTAGAAGGCTCCTGGATGATGATGATGATGATGGGAATTAGAATGGGGGTGGAGGAAAAGGGAGAAGAGAAGGCCTTGGGGTGGAAGAGAAGTCACCCCATGGCGCCATTTCACCCATAAAATTTTAGTTCTCTTGGTGTAATTCAAGATTATTTTCTTTAAATCAACACTGCACTGCATTATATATTGTCAATATGTAAAATAAATTTCAAAATGACCAATAATTTGCTTGCAAACACAGATAAAAGCATTTAGTTGAAGAGAGTCTCAAGCAAGACGTTACCTCCACTGAAAAGACACAAAGACTGACGCCTGTATGGTGTGTTGAGAGGCTGGATGGCGCGCATAAAACTAGTTTCATTACCTTCAATTATGTTCAATAATTGTTAAAATGACTACAAAATTTAATATTAAACTTTTAAAATTATTGAATAGTATAAACTTCTTGATATTTGCTAAAATGGTAAGGAATTTAAGCCCTAGAACCGATTACTGTATTGGCGGACTAATACTACAGCTGGTGGACCGCCAAATGCAAGCAAAAACATGTTCAGGTCGGCTCGTAAGAAACTCGTTAATCAAGGAATTGCTCGTTAACCGAAGTTAAGAATCTTACGGCAGGTAACTCGTTAACCGAAATCTCGTTAACCGAGGCGCTCGTTAACCGAGGGACCACTGTACTGTATGTTACCTTTTTTGGCAGTCGTTACATCCAAGTCAAAGTTGTTTAATATACCCCCATACTTGCCCCTACTTGCCCCGAACACCTCAATTCTTATGATGCCAAATGCAATAATACAGTTCATGGGGTTCTTAATTTACGGTCATTTTATTATCCCCAGAACACAATGTAGAGTACAGACCACCTATCACAAACTAAGATCTGAGATAGGGGGCGATTCTTTTTATTATTATTATTTCTTGTTTCATTGACAAAGGTCACCCTAGACTTATAAAAACTGGCTGAAAAGGAAAATTTAAACAAATATAGCCCAAAAAAAAAATAAAAAATCTGCCTTAATACAGCATAAAATTAGGTTCTAAGAAGTGAACATAATCACTGTAGAGCCAATATACTTTACGCCAGAAAAATTATGTAAAATAAATAAGTCTACAAGTACTGAACAATTAATTCACATTAGTAATAGGTCTTATCATATGGAAACAGTGCTATTTCAAGGCCACAGGTTTTGCTACATAGAAGCAGGAACACAAATTAAAGATCAGAGAAAAGGACAGACACACATATTGTAATGAGCAGTGTGAAGTGACTGCATCAAATGTTCCTGCACGTAGATAAAAGTGCACCTAACTGGCAGTACTGCAGAAGAGCCTGTGACAGGTTAATATTCAACATACCTTCTTTTTAAGTGTGATGGCGTTTCGAAGATGGAATGCCATCTGACGAATGTAAACAAAAGCATGCTTGTATGCACGAACTTGGTCCAAAGAATATAACTCTACCAAAGATATACGCATGAAGTCTATCAAGCCCCAAGTGGAGGGTGATGTGAACCTTGAGTTTTGTACATACGAAAGGTAGAGTCTCTGAAAAAGAAAACAAAGTATTTTAATACTTTTATTGTTTATTTCTATTAAACCTCAAATGATTTAAAAACACTCTCAGTAAGGAGAATTTTATACAGTATCTCAAGTTTTCAATTATATTCACCACTATCATTTTCCCACCTTTGTTAACATTTCTATACAACCATATTAAGGTGGGAAAATAAAGATAAATTTATAAATAGACATATGTCCAACTTTAGATTCAGAAATATGAAGATGCAGTACAAATAAATAAATAAAGCATTTCTAAAAACTCTTATTTTATCTCACCTTTAATGCCCACTCCAAGAATTGAGGAGGAAGAATCTGTGTGAGTCTAAAGATGCCAATGAAGGCAAGAACTCGAACCCTTTTCTCACTGGTGGCCCATAAAGTGATAAGTCTACGAAGCAGAAGTCTGCAAGTGCTCGGGTGGCCAGCATAGTAGCTGATGAGAGGCAAAACTCCACGACTTATGATAACTTCAGCTATACTTGGTTCAGCAACACACTCAGTCAACTGCAAATAAAAATAAAAAGATTGTACTGTACAAGTATTCATGTATGTAAAGATTTGCTAATAAATTGTGAACATCTGATAGTATGTTGTTGAGTGTGTGAAGGGAGACTATTTCTGCCAAATACATGCTGTTAACTATATGCTTCCAAATCCTCAGACAACCTCTTTCATGTGAGATAGAGCAGATCTGTTAAGCCATTTTAGGCAAATCCATTACCCTTCCCTCCATATCACACCCAACAGGTCTCAAATGGGGTAAATCAGGCACAACAGTTATACTCTGGATACAGGAGACCCATCAGAGTCTGTTTATCCTGCATCAAAACTATGTTCTCGTATCCTTAATCTAGATTAATTTGCGACTCTCAAGTTCAGTGAAAAGTAGAAGTGGCTTCCTTAAGCCTGTACTATAAGAGGATTGGACTGGGGAATTCTCTGATGATTACAGTATATTTCTGTAAAATTACCACCAAACATAATATATGGTAGGTTCAGTGGTGAGGCTATTATCCCAGTGAGGAGTGACAAGTAAAAGAGCTGTGTTTAAGGATTCAGAGATGTTCAGTTTAGTGGTGTATACCGTAATACCGGTAGTACAGTATACGGATAAGACAAAATAATCTTAAAAATTCTAACACAATACAAGTACTGTAATAATACTTCGAAAAAATCATCACCTTGATAAAAAAAAAAAGGGTGAAAATACACAAAATAATTCTATATGACTACTACCACTTATTTTGGGTAAGTCTATGGTCTTCTTTTATTATCAATATGGCAAGGGATGTTAATTGTAATGACAGACATTACAGTATATGTGAATCATGTAGGGAAGTTTTGCATATTGTTACAACCGTGAACCACTGAACCAAGCATCTACAAGCCTAAAAGAATGACACATTGACATGTATGAAAAAATGTCTGCCACGTCTAGGAGGAGTCACAGCAACTGGCAGTTTGATGAGGTGGTCTACTTTTCATTGTACCTTTGATCTTTTATCCCTTATTCAAATTTACAGTAAATAACATAAAGGCTTCTAAGTCTTCTTATAATTTGTTTTACTGCAGGTGATGTCTAACAAAAAGTAATGTAATAACAATAATGAAAATGTCATGGTGGACCTAGAGGATGGCATACAGCTATTGAACAACAATCACTGTAGACCAGCAGTTCCCAAACACAGGATCGCAGAGAGGTCACGGGGTCGAGGGGATCACCTGTGATTTTTTATTTATTTTTAATCAAGGTGTCAAGGATTGAAGGACAAGGCCGACAGGTCCTGTTTCATTTAGTCGGGACCATAAATTATGGTCAAGGGATTAATGCAGTTACTCTCCTTGCCCTGTGACACGTTCCACAACTTTATACTGTATACCTTTTAACAGTTCTTAGCTCAGTTCACTCTCCTTCCTATGGATGTGCACAGAAAGTGGCAGCAAATTTCAATAAGTTGCTTACTGAGCCTTTTAAACATGAAATGCCAGAATTATAGGCTAAAAACGAGGCAACGGCAAGAGTAAATTTTGGCGTTTATGATGACGTAGCAAAGTTTGGGATTACTTTATCAGACATTAAGCTGTTAAAAATCGAGCTTTCAACATTCTACTTAGAAAATTGTGGACTATGTTGCTTAACCTCATATACCCTCAGGTATAGAAAATTAATCAAATGATGACATACACAAGTCACTTGAAATATGACGCAGTTGTAGTGTATGTTGTTTAACCATATAATTATACCCCCAGTTAACAGAAAATTTATTAAATGATAATGCACACATGTTACATATGAAATATGACAGTTGTAATTTACAAAACTGTATTTTGTTGCTTAACCACATAATTATACCCCCAGGTATAAAACACTTAATGATGATATAATCATGACAGAGTTATAACCTGTTTCTGCCAGTGTTTAATTTTACACTTCTCAATTATGTAATATATTTTGTTTATTTGTTTTTACAGTTAAATACGTGCAAAAATATGTCCGTATTATTTTACGAATCTTCATATTTAATGTAATGACTCGGGGTCACATTGTATAGGTGACAGCACTAAATGCTGTAGACCTTTGTAAGTAACCCAAATAAAAATAATAACAATATACATTACAGTAAGACAGACCCTGTTTAATATATATTCACAATTCTTAATGAGAGAAGTTACACTTGATAATGAAGAACTAAAAGTTAATGGTAAAGTAATATCCAATAAATGCTATGCAGATGATATTGCTCTTATCACAGACAGTGAAGAGGCGTTACAACAACTCGTTAATAAATTGGTGAAAAAAGGTGAAAAATATACCTTCAAATTGAAAACAAATCCTAAAATAAAAATTATGGTTGGCAACAGGGAACTTAAAACAAGTGGAAAATTTTGTGCATTTGGGAAGTAACATTAGCTGTGATGGTAGATGTATAGAAGAAATCAAAACAAGGATAGGGCGAGTAAAAACAACATTTATTAATCTAAAAGACCTAATGAAAGGGGACATTAACTTCAATTTGAGAAAAAGACTACCGACAGGCTTTATAAGGCAAGGATTGACGTATGGGTCAGAAGCGTGGACACTTTCAGCAGACACCAGAAAGAGGTTGGAAGCCTCTGAAATGTGGTTATAAACGAATGATAAGAATAATTTACACTGACAGGAAGACAGATAAAGAAGTACTAAGCTTAGCAAAATTTTCAAGAGAAATACTGTATTTGAAATGTACAGAAAAATAAAAATAAGATATACTTTGGTCATACAATTAAGGACGTGGGGATAATAACAGAAATATGAATGGGCAAAGTTGAGGGTAGGAGGGCCAGGGGAAGGGAGAGACTGGGATGGATGAATTAAATTAAAAACTGGGTCCCCATAGAGACATAAAACCTTAGAGGATTGGTAAAAACAGCCTGAGAGCGTTTAGAGTGGAGGACTGTGGTCACCAACCCTCAGATATGTGGACGGTACTCTGATTCAAGACCCCTGTAAGTCAGACACCCCCATAATTTAGACAAGCTCTGACTCAGGGAGGTTATGTGGGTCTGCAGTTGGGAGAGGAGTCAGTTCCCACTTGTTTGTTGTTGTTGTGACCACTGCTCCTATGCACACTGTTTTTATTTATTTACTGCTTCCCTGGTGTATTATTATGGTCTCTAAAGCAAGTAAAGACAAAACAACAACATTGAGGACCATTGAGAGAAAAGGAATGATGCTTAGAACTCTATCAGTTGAAAAGAAACTGAAGGTAAAAACAGAATCAATACTGAGGTCTTCATGAACATTATCTGTGAGAAGTTTGGGCTAGATTTATGTGCATACTAGATGTAAGATTAAACTAAATATTGGTGTAACAAAATATAAAGTGTAAGTAAATAAAAGTGCTGGCCTAAATTTGCAGAAAAATATTAATAAGAATAAAATAAAGATACTATGACAAGTTTAAATAAATATCTGGGTTTTTTTATTCTTGTAGCACTTGACGGATTAAACTTTGAGCACAGGCTCTGGTTTATCAGTGCAAACACGGACTGGTCTCACCATCATTGCAGGGTGGCCAAGCATCCTGCTTATGTCCTCTTCTTGTTTACCATCATTAACCCCTTCACTACGAGGACATCACTTTTAATATTTTATTTGGCAAATGCCAGATGATTTTAATTAGCTTCATTTTTACCCTTAAATTAATGGGTTCCCAGCCTTCTTTGATGCAGAAGCAAATATATCATGTGCTAGTTGGTTAGCTTGTACAGTATATCTTTGCTGGACACAAACAGGTCTTAACTGAAATGGCATTGATATAACACTGATAGTAGGGTGTACGGCCGAGTGTTGGGTGTCGATTGTTATTATGAATGTTGTTTGATGTACTGAACAACTTTCCCTCCATTAACAAAAATTTCTTTGACTATATGTACTTTCTCATACCTTGACAAGATTACGAAGATATGCCTTAATGAAGTTTTTAATCTTCCCCCACTTTTTGCTTTTGGTTGGGTCATCCTTGGGAGACTTCAGATTAAGTATTTTTGCTAGAGCCGGGGGTACATTTTTCAAACACAGCCGTACTACTGCGTTGAAAACTGGAAAGAGAACGAAATCACTTAATAATGTGAATAACATACACAGTACATATCATACAAAAGAGCAAAATGCCATTCTTAGGATTATATGCAAATGAAAGGAGGTCTCAATTTCATTATACTGTACCTGTACTGTATAATCATGAAAACCAAGTGCACTTTAGACTGTTCATCCTGGTGGTGTATTTCACCTTATTACATCTTATCTGCATGACAATACAGATTCCAAGCCATCCTATCACAACATTATGATTGGTTAGTTAGGTTGGTTAGTTAGGTTAGGGCCTAATTTAACCCAAATGAAATATTCATTTTGCTATTTGACAAAAAAATTCTGTAATTTTGTGAAATGCCTGATTACACGGTTTGGCTGTAACATATATATGATACACATTTATTTAAATACAGTACTTTATTATGCATTCATGCATATATTCATTTATATAAAAGGTTTCCATATGAATTTGTAGCTCAGAACTATATTTGACGAACAATGAATAAATCAGGAACATCCACAATTATCAAAACATTCATCCAAACTCTTTCCACCATGGATATCCAAGACACACATACACTAAGCATAAAAATATTTAAGTACCTGTATCTACTTCACCTAATAGTCACTACTGTATATTCAAATTGACCTTAAAAAAGTCATAATGTACTGTTAATTTTGTGGAACAGTATTAATGCCTTCACTTAGGTTATGCCATTTTTAATATTTTATTTGACTAATTCCAAACACTTCTATTCAGCACAGAGGCAAGTCCACACACGATGGGTTAAGTCCACACACGATGGGTTAAATCACTGTAAGATGAGCTTCAGTAAACAACAACAACTTACTTTGTGGTCCCTCAACTTTGTACTTGCTGGTAATCTCTGTTTCTTCTTTTCCTCTGGTGCCAAGGCTCTCGATGGCTGCCAGGAAGGCTTGTTCCACTTCCACAAAGGCATTCAAAGGGCTGTTAAAAAAAAGTGTTGATCAGTAAGTAGCAGGAGAGAAAGTTAACAGTATGTGAACAAAAGTGAAGTGACAAAAATAAGGAGAAATAGAGGACTGAAACTTGTAGTTCCAATTTATAGCAGACAACTGAGATGAGTGATCGGGTGAGGTTTATTAGTACTGTACTGCATACTGATTTTGCGTTTGTCGATTAAAAAAAAAAAAGTATCACCCACTTACATGATGCTTTTCATATAGTACAGTACACCCGAATAATTCACAGAATTTTATTTCGCGGTCCTCTATTATTCACGGATGACACCCTGGATGTACCCAATAATGTCTGTGGGTAGTTTTAAAGTTGCTGGCATTTTCGGTGCTGGGACAGGAAGCCATTCGTTCTAGACAGTAATTTCCTTTACCGGAATTGTAAATATGTGCGTGTGTGTGTGTGTGTGTAGACACACACACACACAAAACACATACAAATAGTTAATACGTAATGGGAAAATACTCTCACAAATAATCAAACAAATTTATAAAAAATGTGAGAGTCTACCCTCAAGTCCGTACTTTATTAATAGAGCACAGACTTGAGGGCCTACTGTATTTAATTCACAGTGCAGTACCCACATACTGACACTACTCAAACATCCTGCCATTATTCCTCCTTAGTGAAACAATCCAATCAAGAAACCCAAGGCAGCATTTAAATTGGGATCCAAGTTAGAAATGCTTTAAAAAATTTGAGATTAGGAAGTCAGGTGCTCCACTTAGCCAAGCATACCAACCAGAGTTTTACTTTCTACCTACACCAACAGCTCTGATGTGTTCTACTGTTATTTTGTATTCATTATTATATTCTTATGTAATACAAATTAGTTTTGCAGATGTACATGTTAAACAAGAGCGGGCAGACTGTCATGTTGGTAGTTATATACACCAAGTCCTCGCTTAACGTCGTGGTTCCATTCCTGAAAGCCGTGACGTTAACGAAATCAATTTTCCCCATAAGAAATAGATAAAATACGGGAGTTATGTTCCCCGGCCTCCCTTTGCCCCATAAAATACACTACATATACAGAAATTCAATGGAATTTTTATAGAAAATAGTACGCATACCCGGTATATTACCTGTACATCCAAAAAAATAAATAAACTAAATAATTTTCTATTGTATGGGTGGAGGTGGAGCGAGTGTATGGTGAGTAGTGGAGAGGAGGAGGGCGGGAGAGGAGGAGGGCAGGAGAGGAGGAAGGTGGCGAGTCACTGAGACCCAGAGGGTGGCTCCTCCTCCTGCTCTGACTGGGTGAGAGAGGGTGATGCGCTTTACAAAGTAGTCCGTGATGACTTTATACCGAATTGGCGGGACGTTGTCCGAATTATGGGTATCTAAATAATAACAAAACAACGTTGTCGGGGGCAACGTTGAATGAGGACTTAATGTATACAGTATAAATTATGTTATTACAGTACCTGTATATAGATTGTGTCAGAAAAACTTTAGTACAGGGATAATTGCTTTTCTATATACAGGCAGTCCCCGACTTACGACAGGGTTAGGGACCCAATTCCAGGTCGTAAGTCGAACTGGTCGTAGGTCGAAAATAATACATAGAAAATCTAAAATGGGTGTCTCTTTTTCTTCTCAGCACCCAAAAATCTCACTTTTAAGCTTTCCAGCCATTTTAAAGGAAATTACAAAAGAAAATTTTGTCAGTACACAGTGCAATCACTAACGTCAGGACTCGATAATACGTAATTTGAAAAAATTTTGGTACGACTGGGACGGTCGTATGTCCGGGTGGTCGTAAGTCGAGGAGTGGCTGTATATCATGTTAATGATTGTACAGCAATATCTCCGTTAGCCGGAATCCCTCAGACCCAGAACTCTACAATAGTCGGAATTTAAATTTTCTCAGAAAATCATTCCCAAAGCCGGAATTTTCCAGAAAATTCCATCTTTCAGAACAATTTTCCAAGGGGCACATTTTCCGGAAATTTTTTAGAAAATTTTCCCTAAGTCCAGAAAATTCCGGGGATGAGGGATTTTTTTTTCAGCTTTGAGAGATGATGTAATGGGTGATTTCTGGAACTTCAGAGAGCATTTTTCCGTTATCCCAAAAATTCTGGGGTTGAGGGATTTTTTTCGGCTTTGATAGAGTCATCTCGTTACCTGGAAATCTCTCATTCCCAGAAGTGCTCTGCACCAATTGTTCAGGCTAATGGGGATATCACTGTATTGAGTTTTTTAACTGTTAGGGTGGTGGTTTGGTGGCAGCATCACTACCGAGAACTGTAGTGGAAAGTTGGTGTGTGTGAGGCTGGCAGACAGGTGCTGTTTGGCCTGACAAAACAACTCCATGCTTGTTCTCAAACAGTTCTCTTGGTGTGATTTCTTGTTCTGCAGTTTTAAATATAATATGTATTCAAACACTTCATTTTTTTCAAACTTGTAGCATCTAATGTTGCTTAATGGTTATTGAGCATTTTACACCATCAGCCACATCACACTCCATATTTGTAAATTTGTGCACCTGTTAATAATTTGTGAGAATTTGGTCTCTGAGAAAAACTGGAGTAATTTGTCTCATTCTTTTGCGAACATTCATTGGGATCCAGCATACAGTACCTATTTTATGGTGTTGCCTCATGGTCTAGCTTTGAATTGACAGGGATTCACTGGGTGAAGAACTGTTCACAAAACCTACACTGGTCCAACTAGATGGTGTAACCTACTGTTGGAGCATGTCAAGCCCTTCGCCAGGGCAGGCAGGTTATGGAGTGTTCCACAGGAGGTATCGTATATCACTCACTAAAACAACCAAGATAACCAAACCTATATCGTTGACTCCAAAATCACATTACTGAGAAGAACATGCAATCCTATTAAAACCCATTTAAATAATTTAGTAAACATACCTGCTTCCTTTCAAGTCCTTCTCCCACTGAACAGTCATGGCAGCTGTCACAGTGTTGTCACCTCGGTGCTGGAGCCCCTCCTCCTCAGCATCAGATTCATCACTGTCAACCTGTACAAATTCATAAATTAATTGGTGACATAAAATATGCAGAGTCAACAATAATTTTTCCTATTAGGACACAGAATAATAATATCAGATAACCAAATAAGTGATATCTCACAATGTGTCTTCAGGAATCCCCCCCCCCCCAAAAAAAAAAATATATATACTGTATATTTTTTTTTCACTGACTGACTAGGCCTGTGAAGCTTCTGATGGTTAGGAAATTGTGATAAATTTTCATTGTACTGTATTATTTTATGTGCACTTTACATGGGGAGGGGGGGGGGGGAAACTATCCAATTTAGGGAATCCCCCCAATAAGGGAGAGGGCTTGCACAAATTATTCCAGCATTAGGAGGGTTTACTGTAAATAAAACACTAGGAATCAGACTCAGAAGAGAATTTAGGAGGATATATTTTAGAAGACACAATTATACATCAACTTATGGCTTAAAAAGAAGGGGCAGCTTCAACCAAATACAAGGAGACAGATGATGGTACTGTACCACAAGTATGAGAAACAACCCTAACATACCTCCAATTTTGTAGGTGGCTGAAATATTGCACCACCTCTCTCTGGGTCTTCCTCATCGCTGCTCTCTTCTTCTAAAATATTAGTTTCATCTTCTTCATCTGAACTGCGCAGGTCCATCACATCTGACGACTGCATCATCATATCATAGAAGTGTGGGTCATTCTTCTTCAGTGTCTCTAGGTAGTCTTTTCGGTTCAATTTGGTGACACTAGAGAGGTCCTCATCATCCTCAAAATCCAGATCATCATCTAAAATATCAGTAGCATTCAATAGAGATACAGTGCTGAGTAATTTTAGCACAATTAAAATCACAGTCAACAATGAAAACAACACTATCCATTATAAAAATTTAATCAACCTTCAAAAAAATTTCTCCAATAAAACAGTATCGCTCAATCCAATTAACGAATTTCCAAATTTAATAAGCATATAAGAGATACAGTACCACTGCTTCACCTACCATACTCATACACTAAGAATATGGTACAGAAATAAGATGTTCAAATTTTAAGTCTTGCATCTACCGTACAGTTTGAGTTTTTATGATAAAATCTTAATTAAAAAAGCAGATGGTCAAACATCACACACACAGTATTTTTGAAGGGTTAAAATTTGTGCATTTCCATGAGTCATTTACAGTGAACAATAGCTACCAGGGACATGCTTGTAGTAGGCTAACCTTACCTAGGTGTGAAGTGTTATGGCCAGTTTTTTTGTACTCAGTTATATGAACAAACAATCCTATATACTTATTGTGAAAAATATAAATAAATAAATAATTACAATACAGTAATGGCGAGCACATAAAGGAAAAACATATATTTGTGCTTGAGTTAGGAAGCTTAGCTGGGGCAGTGGAGTAGGAGGGGGGGGGGTGTTAAAGCACTGGCAGAGGTGGCTTCCCAGGTAGGCTAGGTTAGGAAGACGGTTATGTTAAATTCTCATTTAGCTTTTTTAATCTAGATTGTATACAAATGTTGTTAGAAGTAGCACAATTATTAAATAACATAAAAAGGTCGATGGCATGGTTTATAAATGCTGGGGAATAGGTACTAGGAGTTGAGTTTGCTTCAGCCATTTGACTTACTGTGTAAGCAGTTACATTAGGGTGCGTCCACATGAGTGTACATTTTGTACACTGTTTCAATGTGATCGTCCCTCTTAACATAGTTTATTTTGGGTTATTCAATCTTATGTAAACAACAGATGACTTGTGGTCCAGTGTAAATTTATGGTCAGCTGCACCATCTATCCTTATTAGAAATTCACTGGCTCTCATACTATGAACCAATACACAAAATACAGTTCACAGGTCTCTATATCTTCAATGATTGTCTATTAACAATCTCACTAAAGATGAAGGAGGGTTTCCAAGCCATCCACTTCCTCCTCTCACTCTTATACTGGGATTTCATACATCAACCCTTATTTATTATCTATCGGCTGTTGTGAGAAGCCTGTAAGATTATAAATCAGACACTGTAGTAACTTTATGGGTTAATACATCATGAGGTAATGTTTGCATCCCACAATTAATGGGTGTTACAACAGACTTTGGCATCTAAGCTTGTATAGGTACTAAAGTAAAACAACATCTGCAGGGATTACGTGCCTGAAAAACACCATGGAAGGTAAATCCACACAGGATAAAGCAAAGGACCTTTGGGATAATGGATTAGTTTCCCGGATGACAAGACAACTCTCTTAATTGGTCCTCTAATTTATTTTACACTAAACAAAACAAAAAAAAGTGTCATAACAGAGGGAAGGTCGTTGGCTGACAAGACTCAATATAAGGTACAGTTGAACTTCTAGAATCCATCACTATAAAGTCTAATGACATCAAAAGTACAAACACAAAATTCCTGTGTCAAGCAGACCATCAAGGGAAGGAGTTGTGGTTGTATACAGTATATTCATGAATGAAATGTGGGTCATATGGAGAAAACTGGCAGTAAGAATCAATGCTCTGAATGCCTGTGTATGCAGTTTAGGTGGTCCATGAAACATCATTAATGTCTTACCTTCAGTATTTTCTTGGACCTTTTTGACCTTGGTTTTTGTCTTCTTCAACCCTGCCTTTTTCTTCTTTGCAACATTTTTAGATTCAGTGTCCATCTGAAACAAATAGACATGAACAATATTAGTAAACAAAAGAATAGTTCCTTGCATGTGAGCACTGACGACTCACATGCATGTGGCTATTGATACATGATGCCTAGGGTAATCTTATGGGTTAGTTGGTGTCAAGATGCCCACCAGGCAGTTCCTTGCTGCTGCAACAAATGGTATTTATTGTAATTTTGAGAAAGAAACAGATCAAGATATGCCATGTATGGATAAAGAAGTTGAATTATGTGGTTCTCAACCTTTTTTGGCTGCGACCCTAAATTTCCCAACTTTACGGTGTCGTGACCCCCAGGCATATAATATATTATATAGCTTGAATGTTAAGCAAAAAATTTTTTGACTTTATGATAAGTACTATGTATTTTCAAAATTGTCTGAGGGCCCCTCGCGACCCTAATGAGGACACCCCGTGACTCTGATTTGTGTCGCGACCTGAGGTTGGGAATTGCTGCTCTAAATGAAATGTATGTTAACAACTCAGAAATGTACTGTATTCTTAATTTATTAACACTAAATATGGCACAGTTCGATTTTTGTTCATCAGTGTGAGCCACCTTATACAGAAGACTTATTAGACTAGCACCAGCCTCTACAGCTAAGCTACAGATAAAACCAAGATACTGTACTTAGCTACCGGTGACTTCGTCACCTCGCTTCAATGTCTAATTCTGCCATCTGTATTTTTATAATGTTCACTACAACTGTCCCAATAACATGGATTCTTTATTTAAGAACAATATAAGTAATTGTCTCTGTTAACTTATCTACTCCAGGCAGTATCACTGTAATAATAAATGACCTGTAAGAACAAAAGAAATACGTAATAAGAAATTTCAAAATGATTTGTACAGTACTTTAATAAACTGTACATACAAATACAGTGCTGCCCCTTACAACCATCCACTCTACTCACATACGAGTCACTAAAAAGAATGAGTAAGGTGCAAGTTTTTCTCATGACAGCGCTCGTGCCTAAAAATTGCACCATGTAAATACGCCTTTAAAAAGACAACAGGGAAGGAAGTAAGCAGAACAGAGAAGTGACAGTAAGCAGAAAATAAGTAGAGAATCTATATTGTACATGGAATGAATAATTGATATTACAGTCTATACCAGCGCTTCTCAAACTATCTGATGTGGCGGACCGGTTTTTTTTCAATGTGCCACGGAACGGCGAGCGAAGCGAGCCAATCCCGGGGCCTATAGGGCCCCCCCCCCCCCAGGAAAATCTTTTGAGATATGTCCTATTTCAGGGGCATTTTGAGACTATCTGTACTAAACATGAAGACATGATGTCTTATTCATTCTAAGGCCAATCATCATTGACGTAACAAGTCTTCCCAGTGTGCCAGGGACCAGTACCATATTTGTGCCATACAATTAATTGTTTACGATCAGAGAAAATATTATTTGAACATTCGTAGTAATATTATTTTATACAGGAAAAATATAATGAATATAAAAGTGGGTTGGGATGGGGTCCCAAATGACAAACACGCAGATACCCGTATGATGCTCTCTGTTCCACTTCTTGATGGTAACTAACCACTGACCTGTGACCTGACATCACAGACTGCTGATCCACACGTGTGGAATAGCAGGGTTGCCAGCTGTGTGACACCCTTCACGGCTGGCACGCATAGTAAAAAATCGGCCATTTCTTTTAATGGGATGCATACATTTATTTTATCCGAAATTAAATAACTACCATACTTAAAATAAAAAGATTTATGTTTTGGGTGGATATGGCGTAACTGGTGGCCGAGAAACGTGGCAATTCTGGCAACACAAGGTGATGCGCCCTATTGATATCCCCAGGTGTGGTTCCCACAGAGTCAAACGCCACATCATCATGAAGGTGTTGTTATACGTATTTCAGTTCGCTGTTTTGCTGTTCATTATATCGCATTCGTTAGTTGCATAGCAATGACTTTTAACATGAGTGAGTAAATGAAAAATATAGCCATAATAAATATAAAAACTACAATGAAAATGTAAAAAAAAAAAGACCGAGTCAGATGTCCCGGCAGTGTCACGTGGTGTGGAACGTGACTATCGTTTCTTTCTTTTCTGAAAACTCTCCGCGTACCGGCAGACGATGGCTCACGGACCGGCACCGGTCCGCGGACCACACTTTGAGTAGCACTGGTCTATACAACAGAGAAGTAACCTCTCGCCAACGCTCTACATGATATACACGTTTGACATGCCACCTCCTACCCACCGATACATAACCTATGCCGATGACATCACCTAAATCATCAGACATCCAGACAAGGCCAAACAGATGATGGCACGAAAAACAGCCCACGCGATCTAGCAAATAACCAATTATGAAAAAAAAAGGTGGAAAATTCAAACTAATACACAGAAACTAAAGTTCATTCATATTACCAAAACAAACCCAGCACCAATCACAGTCAACAACGAACATATACAATACTCCAATGAAGGCAAAATACTGGGACTAACAAAAACAACAAAAGGCATCACAACTCACAAAACTACAAGAGATTCAGCAAAATGGACACCAACATTCAACTTCACCTATTCAAAGCATTAGTCCGCCCCCATCTGGAGTACCCACCAATACCACTCAGTACGATCAACAGAACCAGTCAGCTTAAACTTCAAGCAGTACAAAATAAAGCGATCTGCAGAGTACCTTCCCCCCGTACACCACCAAAATACAAGAACTTCACAAACTATACAATATCGAACCACTGAACACATGTACACACAGCCAAGCTCAGAGAGTTCGAAGCAAACTTGAAGAGTTGGAGGACCCAACCTTCTTGCAATTAAAAGAAGAAACCACAAGCACATAGCTGGTGGCCCAAGAGATTCCATGCTAACATAGAAGAACAAGACCCACTTTATACATATATATGAACAAATAACACCACCATTTAACAAACATAAATTAACACACATTACACTAATGAATGTCTAGCTAGCCTAACATCCCCCCCAGCCTCCCTTGAGCAAGCAGGCACATGCTGTGTATGGCCACCACCCCAACCAATCACCTCAACTCAGCTAGGTGGACAGCTCACCTGCTATTACTCCCTACTACTTTACTTCCTGTTTCTATTCTTTCCTTCTATCTCTCCTCTCTCATTGTAAAATCATTTGCCACTTGACTTCATTATCATCATCATATTACAGTAGTTTGATGGGAAATTGAATGTAGAATGTGGAGTGTTCCAGACATCTGTGAGTAGACGTATCAGCAAATGGAACACAAAGAATATGAGGAAAACAATCACTGAGAGAACCACATCAAAAGAGGCAAAAGATGGGGATGCACTGGAGAACCTTTGAACAAACATCACCATACGGGCGTGATGTGAGGACTCTGGATGTAAGAGGAAGGAACACATCAGGAGCAACGGAAATGACACGTTCAAGAGCGACATTTAGGATGAATAAGATGCAGATTCTTGGAATATACTGATGTAAGAAGTGTCATGCAGGGAGTGCAGCTGTGTTACTCAGGTGCTGTGGACATTATAAGAGAATAGAAAGTGAGAGACAGGTAAGTAGAAAGTACAATTCAGAGGTGAACAGTAGGAAGGAGAAAGGAAGATCAGCAAGATTGAAAGATGGGGTGATGGCTGCTCTAGAAGTAAGGGGAATGGACATCTAAGAAGCAACATAGTATACATGAATGAGTGGTGAGTAAAGGCACCTTGTGAATTTTAGTGAAGAATGTGTAGCTGACTGGTGATGCTACATCGTGTTAAGCAACAGGGTGTACTGTATATAACTCACCAAGTCATCATCATCATTATCGTCATCATTTTGGATCATGGAAAACATGTCGTCAACACTCATATCTGACAGTTCTTTTGTTTTCTTGCCAGCATCTTTCTTCTTAGGCATCCCACCTTTCTTATTTTTCTTTAACTTCTTGTCCTTAGGCTTCATCACTACTGTAGTTGGTTTATAGTGATGTTTCTGTAAGGCAAAATGAGAAAATTATAATAGAGAATCTTAAGTTTTGAAACAATTTGCACAGGTAGTTTAATATCTTCTATCACTCCCCCAACTGTATGAGTGAAGCTTTAATCTGCCTTCAAGATCTAACGAAGTCATGACTTTTTTAATGTTGAAGGGAAGGATAAAAGACCTGGAAGATATAGCCAAGCTTACTTCTTCTAGGAAAACAACATTATTTTCCATGGATGACAAAAACTTACTTCTGGAAAAAGAGACCAAGTAAAAAACTGGATCTTTTAAGGTAATGTCAGATTCCCTGCAATCAAGATTATTCCTTAAGGTGTCTGATGGCTTTGAAGGCTTATTCTTCCCATAAAACTGATAAGAAAAGCCTCAAGAATTAATTAACTTCCTGTACCTTATCATAATGAGTCAATTTTGCCCAAAGCACAATTTGTCAGCCTGCAGGCCACTGAACTGTAATACAAAATACAGTACTGTGTGTGTGTGTAGGTTAATCTGCACAAACAAATGCATTCTGTGGTCTTAACCCTCTGAGGTCCCTCTCACACGCCAGTATTCCCACGCAGGCCAAAGTAGTTACAGTATATGTATTATCCAATTTTTTTTTTATTTCTGAGTAGAATATTTTGAATTTAACAAAGCATCACTCCTCTCACCTTGTGACAAGCTGTAGCCAATAGAGAGGTTAGCCTTGGGAGATACATTCCCCGATTCTCTGTTTCAAAGTCACTTGCCCCATCTCCGCCCTGAGACAGACATGTGTCAGTGGTTGCTCTTTTTGACGGATTTTTTTAAATTTCCCATTGCATGTGTATTAATGACGGTGCAGGAAAGATCGGTGATGGGGAAAAGGAAGAGGAAAGATGATGAGATGGGGAAGGTGGGAACTAGATAAAGCCCTGGCCTACAGTGGCGGTGAAACCATGGGTGCCGTCCCGAATGATACCTTACCCTACGCCTTCACAAATGGACGTACTGTTGTGAGAATAGTGATAGTGACAGTAATGTACTGTAGGTGACTCCCCTGCTGATCAGAGTTTTGGAAATGACAGTCACAAAAACAGTTAAACAGCAAACATTTCATTTCTGCCTTGTTGGAGAGAGGAAACAGGGGTTAGGCAAGGTTAGAAAGGGTCTGAAGCCTAACCTTGACATACCAATACACAGCGAAGGATCAATATCATCATCACCGACAAAACAATGTAAAGGCAGTTGACAAACAGGTCATGTTGTACTGTACAGCCAACTGCTCGACCAGTGACAAACAAGTCACTTCAGTCTGTAGAAGACTCCACCATGACCAGGCTTGGAATATTTATAATTAAATAAGTGATTGTTGTCAACGTACAAACCCAGATACTTTTCACGCTTGATCTCAGTTAATGTTTCTTCATCATATCAGGACATGTGATAAACCTCCTTGCTATTGCATGACCTATGTGCATCCTTTTGCATTTTGTGACATTGAATCTTAACAGCCATTCCTTTGACCACAAATATCTTTCTGTACCCCTTCACAGTCAGTGTGGTTCTTAATTTCCATGAATAACTTAACTTTGTCCTCAAACATTTGTATGGGGGAGCGAAAAGCATCTGGCATTTCATTTACAAAACAAACAAACAAAAACAGTCCCAGCACACTGCCCTGTGGTATTCCACTTTCCACAGGTGCACCTGATGATATAGGGAGAAAAAAAAAACTATATCCTATTACTTACTGGCGCAAATTTATAAATTTATATTTCTCAAGTATTTTAAACCGATAAGACCTCCCCAATTAGAGGAAAAATGTTGGTTGAAACACAAAAAAAAGAACACCAAAAACAGGCATTTGAAAACCTTAACTAACTTTAAATAATTTGCAAAAAGGTTAAAAATACTGTATGGTAATGTCTGAGAGCACCACTACCACCAGAAGGAATTGTTCGATTATCTTATTTTTTTTCCACATATGTTCTTATCATAATAAAAAGAGGCGACATTTAATAGAACCTTCTCCTCACCAACCAAAGAAATCGACTAAACCTTATCAAACTTACTAGCTGGGGGGAGGGGGACCCCCGTCATATTAAACAGAAAGTACTTAGCCAATCAGAGCGCAATCATGGTAATATAGCGTTCTTTTCTTTTTTATCCTCTTCACCACTGTTCGGTTCTTTAGCTGCTTTGACGATGAGTCATGTATCTGTTACGCACTGTTGGCAAGTACTGGGCATGCACCGGCTCCTGAATGTACCTGAACCTGCTCCAGTGTTGGTCAAGTCTGGTCTTGAAAGAGCTCACACTCGGTGCCGTCACAACACTTTCTGGTAGATTGTTCCAAGAGTTCACAACTCTCACTTCAAAAAGTTTGCCCTCACAGTTTTCTGGACTTGCGGCTTCTTCAATCTTGAGCTGTGATCCCTTGTGGGGTGAGCGTCTGCCAGCTCCAATTAAGGACACTCGACTGATTAGTGCCCTTTGAGATGCTAATACACCTCAATTAGGTCGCCCCTTGCCCGTCTGTAGTATAAGCTAGGTTAGAACTTAGCTCGTCACAGCAAAATATCCACTACGCATCTTCAAAGCCCTGCCCACTTCGTGAAAAACCATTGTTGTATGTCCATAAATACATATCAATGCCAAAAATAAAGGTCATAAAAGGTAAAGTTTCGTTTTATGACCAAATAGGAATTTGATAATGGAAATATGTAATTCGGCAAATTTTTCAGAGAAGTATTTACGGTAAATAATTAATTTCTTCAAGTACTGTACAATACAGAGCAGGTGGAGATATCATTTTAGTGGGTAAATATTCAGAAGTTGCCAACACCTACAGTACTTATATATTGAGTCTTATATTGGGAGAAAGAAAAAAGTCTATAGCGTTTCTGTTGGAAATTTTTATTTTTCGAGTATTTTAACCAATAAAATTACCACCAATATTATTTGTTCTTGGCAAGGCTTTGCAGCTGAGGGATAATGTGGGGTAAAAAAAAAAAAACAATAAACAAGCCTTTGAAAACTTTACTCAACCTTTAAAAATCCTAAAACAATAAAGTTTATTTTATCATGTTTTCAGTGTTTACTATGTGACGGTGTTGTTTTCGGTCCTCAGATGAGGAGAAAACCATAAATTTGAAAGTGATTCTTAACATTTTTACAAGTTAGGAAAGGTTAGGTAAGGTTTTCAAAGTTCACCCACGGCAAGTGTTAAGTTATGTTGTACTGTACCCTTTCCACACTAACCTGGCTTGTAAGCCATGCCCCTCGCTTATAAAAATGCTGAATGGTTCATAGAAAATGTTCGTGTAGCTGTCCATTTATTCAAACTAAATATGTTCACATTTAGTAAACAGATCTGTTATTCTGTAAAATAATGTTAAATATCTGGACTATCAAAATGCAAATGATTTCAAAGCATTAGCACTTCAGAGAGGATGTTTGAAAATTTTAAATATTTATCATAAAACTTCGAAGTCAAAGATAAAATTCACTTTGTACTAAACATAGAGCAAACAGAAACAAATGATTTAAAAATTATAGACCAATAAGTAATAAACTACAGTCTGTATGCCTGTATACAGTACTGTATAGCCCAAATCATTTATGTAACTGAAAAAAAATATATAAATACACGGTTATATAAGGTTAGGTAAGGTTTCATTTAGAAATAACCACATTTGCACAAATTATGACAGTGTCAACTATAGAACACAGTGAAATTGTGGCATTTTTATATTCGTTTTCTTTGAAAAATCGGCCGCAGGTCAGTCATCAATAATTACTGAAGAAAAGTGTTTTAAAATTGTTTAAACTGCATGACAGGGTAATATTGAAGTAAACAGCTACCACAGAATTCCGGAAATTTGCTACACTCAATCGATCAACTATTTTTTCTATGATAATTTTCTTATGTTACATTAGGTTAGGTTAGGTAAGAATTTTTTATCAGAGTCTTTGGTTGCTGTAATCTGTATTTTTACCCAGATAGGTATATTCTTTTTTGTATTTTTCCCCATATTTTCCAACCACTTAACTGATCATTTTACTACCCATCAGCAAATCAAGATTGATTTTTTTTTACGAGGATTAACCCACCCGGGCACAGGTCACTGACCCATATCGGGGCCTGGGGGGCAAAAATATACAGTACTAATACTAATTATCCATAGTAAATAAAATTTATAATAAAAAATGTTTGTTTTTAAATAAAATAATAAAATAATATTAATGATGATGATGATAACAACAACAACACTAAGAATAATACCGCTAAGGAAATACAAAATGAAAAAAGAATCAAAAGTGAGAAACAATATATGTACAGTACAGGTAGTACAGGCGGTAGTACCTCCCTGTTTGGTAGCTGCCTACTACCGGCTTAGGTGTCAAAGTACCGTTATATAGCATCAGTTTAGGTGCACAGCTGTCCTGAAGAAATACCGATTACCAATTATGAACACCATCAACCCATCGACAAATTACACATTGAAAGTTAACACCAAATACTACAGGATTGATTTTCCTGTCTTGACTTGTGTATAAGTAATTTACGGTAGATTTCCTCAGTTGTATGTGTAGTCTGCATGAAACCTTTTTTTAATAAGTGAAGATTTTACACTTCGTTTATTGCTTACATTGTAAACAGATCGTTCAGATGCAGCCTTTCCGCTGGTCCCCTCACACACACGTGCTGCCAGACAACAACAACACTCAGCAGTTCTTCATCTAAGAGCCGGATTCAAAGCGAGTGATCCAGGTGTATGCTAATAACCCCCTTAGGACATAAGAAAGCACGAAGTTCCCAAGTACTTTCATGTAATTCACATCTTCAGGGGTGAGAATATATATATATATATATATATATATATATATATATATATATATATATATATTTATTCAGTAAAAAAAGAAAATTTTTGTACTTTCTCAGCAACATTTTGCCATTTCTTGCAAAAATGGAACATTTTGGTCTTTTCGTCAACATACTGTATTGTTATCTTTCCAGCAAAAAAATAATTTTTTGTCCCTTTTCGCCAAAATTTGCCATTTTTCCACAGAAATTTAACGTTTTGGCTTTTATCAACAATATTTCGCCATTTTGGCTTTTTTCGGCAACATTGTGCCATTTTTTCCATAAAGAAAATATTTTTCTATTTTCCATAAAATAAAAAAACATTTGAGCTTTTTTCGCCACTTTTTTTTTAAATATTTCCAAATAAAAGAAAATTTTGGCTTAATTCGACAACTTTTTGCTATATTTCTGTAAAAAAGAACATTTTGACCTTTTCAGCAACATTTAGCTATTTTTTGCTGTAAAATAGAACACAAAATTTTTCAGCCACATTTTGTTACTATTCCATAAAAAGGACATTTTGGCTTTTATCGGCAACATTTTGCATTTTTTTCCGTAAAAGGATATTTGTCATTTATTCCACAAAAAGGAAATATTTTGGCCTTTTTTACCATTTCACCCACGAGACATTTTAGCCCTTTTCGCCAACATGAAGCCATTTTTTCCACATCAGGGAACATTTTAGCTTTCTTCAGCAATATTTCGCCATTTTTCACATGAGGGAACATTTTGACATTTTTTTCTGTATAAAAATTTAGGCTTTCCATAATTTTTTGGGGGGTGGGGGGCTTCTTTGGGCAACATTTTGCTATATTTTGTAAAAATAGTAATTTGGACTTCTTTCAGCATCATTTTGCTATTTTTTTCCAAAAAAAGAAAGTTTGTTATTTTTTCCCTAAAAAAGAACATTTTGTCTTTGTCTGCAACCTTTTTCTGCTTTTTTTTCTGGAAAAGAACATTTTGTTTTTTGGCAACTTTTTGCTATTTTTTCCACAAATAGGAACATTTTCGCTTCTTTCGGCATTTTGCCTTTTCTGTAAAAAAGAACACTGGCATTTTTCGGCAATATATTGCTATTTTTTCATAAAAAACCTTTCTGGGTTTTGGGGGCAACATTTTGTTCTTTTCAATAAGAAAAACATTTTGGCTTCTTTCGACATTTTGTTTTTCCGTAAGAAACCAAAACATTTGGCTATTTATTTCTCATAACCTCTTCTGAGAACAAAATGTGGGTCAGTGCGGTGTCAAACCGTCTATTTTCAAATGCAGTAAGATTGTTTGCATCCTTTCTTGTGAACCCGAGGAAAAGAAACTGTTCAAAGCCTCCGCCTTGTCCTGGTCAAAATCAGCGAAACTACCATCTTCAAGCCTTAGGTCCGAAACGCCTACTTGCTTTTTTAATTTCGACTTTGCGTAGCAGTAAAACGCCTTTGGGCTTGATTTGACCTCACTCGCAATCCGCCTCTGGAACTCATTTTCAGCCCTTCTACACTCTGACTTTGCTTGGTTCCTGGATCTGGCATACATCCTTTTGTCCTGCTCATCGTTTGTCCTAACCCACGTTTGAATTTCTGAGTTTTCTTAACTTTGTCGACCGCCGCATGGTTCATGTGCAGCGGTCTCCTTGTATTCCTGGTGTGACAGTGCACTTTACCGGCTATATCTTGGTGAAACAGAAAAGGATAATGTTACCTTTATCATGATGTGACAGATCAATGTTACTCCTATTCTGGGGTGACAGAAAAGGATATTGTTATCTAAATCCTGGTGTGAGAGAAGAGGATAATGTTACATATATATGCTGGTATGACAAGGGGATAATGTTACATATATATGCTGGTATGACAAGAGGGTAATTTTACATATATCCTGGTGTGACAGCGGCAAGAGCTTCATGATATTCCATAAAAAAAATGTGTTATTTTATCAATATATATATAAGCAAGTAAATCACTGTGGGTGCGCGTTACGAGTTGTTACGAGTTGGGGATTTAGAATATAGTTAAAGGTCTACCCAGATCCCAACAGGCAACAACAAAAACAAAAAACAAAGACAATCGGACTATAAAAGGGTAGACAAGGGATGCGAGTTTTTGTTGTGTATAATAAAGTACCATAAATCCCTTAACAAAATATTCAGCTTTCTATAATTTACCCTTAACAATACTTAACCTAAACATTAACAGTATATACATATTTATACAACATACAATAATTTGAAGCAAGGTGGAGTTGAGGGAGGCAATATAAGATTACAAATACTTAAGTGCGGAGCTGAGACGGCTGACGAGTAAGGCTGAATATTGTAGAAGACGGTAGGTAGTCACTTTGCCGTAGGTTTCCAGGATAGGTGATCCTGTGGTCACTTCCCAGAGTGAACTGAACTCTCCTCGAACTGGAGCTGACAAAGAAGACTTTGAGGAGGTGACGCAACAACCAGGATATGGAGAAGGGACACCCGGGAGTGGTAACTAAGACGAGTCATACTCGTGTTTCGTCCCTAGATGGCGTTGCTCGTGGTGCTGGGTAGGTAGATCAGGACAATTGGTGGCGTGGTTCGTAACACAGTATTTGTTCTTCCAATATTAAGTACGCTGCACTTGCTGGTGTTGAATTTCATTTGCCATTTTTCAGACCACCCCTGCAGTTTATTTAGATCCTCCTGTAATGCATTTGCATCCTGCCCTGAATTAATCTGCCGCCCTATATATACTCGTATTTTTTTTCCTTTACTTTTATCCTTTTTGCCGCTTGGGCGGTCGGTCACGCCTCTTGTTACGCATTATTAGCAAATACTGGGCATGCACTGGCTCCTGAATATATCGTAACTTGCTCCAGTGTTGGTCAAGTCTAGTCCACAGTCTCTGGCAGATTCTTCAAAGAGTTCACAATCCTCACTCCGAAAAGTTTGCCCTCACAGTTTTCTGGATTAGTGGCTATAGTGGTAAACATCCCAAAGCTCTCTCTACCACACACACATATATATATATATATATATATATATATATATATATATATATATATATATATATATATATATATATATATATATATATATATATCTTGATAAAATCACACAGGAAAAGGGAAACAACGGAGCACCTTAGCTTTTGTCTTTATTCAAGACATCTTCGAGATAATGTTTAATAAGAACAAGTCTCAAAATTTTACATATATATATATATATATATATATATATATATATATATATATATATATATATATATATATATATATATATATATATATATGCAAGTAAATCACTGTAGGTGCGCGTGATCCAAGTATATGCTGATATATGTTTTATTTTTTATTTTTATTTTTACAGGGCCCACCCAGGAACAGGTCACTGACCGACATCAGGGCCTGGGGGGTGGTGAATGGTGATGATGATGATAATAATAATAATAATAATAATAATAATAATAATAATTCAGATAAGTAAAATTTATAATAAAAATAATGATAACAATAATAATAATAACCATAAAGAAATAAAAAAAATTCAGTTACCTTATTATAGTGGTCAGAATATAATAGTATAATTTTTTTTTTTTTTATTTTTTTTTTTATTGTCTATTATTTTATTTGTTTTTTGTATTTTTTTACGGGTTAGCCCACCCCCAGGCACAGGTCACTGACCCACATCGGGGTCTGGGGGGCCAAAATGTAATAATAATAATAATAATAATAATAATAATAATAATAATAATAATAATAATAATTATAATAATAATAATAATTTAGATAAGTAAAATTTAAAAAAAAATAATGATAGCGATACAAAAATAATAATAATAAAGAACCATAAAGAAACACAAAAATTAAAAGAAAATAATCAAAAGTAAGAAACGATATATGTATGTTGTGTTGTCAACAGTAAGAGAAAAAAATTGAAACCTGCAATTGTGTGTAAATGAGGCAGAAAGTCAGATCAGCAACCTGGGACTTGGTCACAATTTTTGTAATGCCAATGGCAGCAGGGTCTACCATTAGACAATACGTTATGCTTCCAATATCTTCCCAGGCGGTAGTACCTCCCTGTTTGGTAGCTGCCTACTACCTACTACTGTGCCTAATAAATATTCACATGGTGTTCACATCATTATTTGTCTCAAACTTCAATACCTTAATGTCCTCAAGTTAATAATACTAACACCATTTTTAAGGCACATGAGAACATCTTTACAACACAAGCAGATCAATTTAATCTATATACATGACTTGAAATTGTCTACCTGCTATATACAGCAACTAGGAGCATTAACATATGGCTCTTAAAAGATGTTTATATCTTAATATTTGTACTGTCTGTCTTGTATGTTTGGGGAAACAAAAACAATCCTACTACTACTACTTCTGCTGCTACTACTACTACTACTACTACTACTACTACTATTACTGTTGCTACTACTACTACTATTTTTCTCAAAATACAACAACAGTGAATTAGAACTGCCCTCCAACCTCCCCCTATAGCCACACCTTCACCTCCATTTTATTACCTTAATATTTGATATCCTAATACAAAAGAAGCTACCTCAGTTGAGCCACAGATCCATGCGGCATTCAGTGACTGCTGCCTCACAGTCAATTTCTGCGACCGCCGTTGGCTTAGGGGGCGATATCTTGTTTCCTGAGGCAAAGCAATGCAGACCGAAGCAGAGAAGGACGGGCGAAACCTTAACCAGGCCACAACCTGGGCCAATTCCGCACAGAAACATCTTACTCCCAGTCCCCACAAATATCCTAATACATAAGTAACTATCCTAGCTGTGTTGAGTTAGTTGAGGCGCACTATTACTGTTGCTACTACGACTACTACTATTCTCTCACCTATGATATCATTATAAATATAGTCAGGGTCAATACTTCGTGTGGAGCAGTGAAACGGTGTCATGGGAATGAGTCTCCGAACTTACATATACGTACTTTGACTGTCATCTAGAGCGGGTGTGCTGTTTTATCTCATTTGAGTTCAAAGTTATTTCACACGGACTTTTGACCCTGACTATAAATAATAATCATTACTTCTAAACCTAATTACAACACCTGCCTGGACTGACAGGTAGTACGACCTCAGGTGCTCAAACAACCACCACATCTCTTCACTCGAATTACAGTCGTAGTGATACATCACAACACCATTGTTGCCACGTGTTTGAACAAGAAAACCCCACCACCACACCTCATCTTCACTCGAGTTACAACAGTTGTGTTGAAAATAAACCTAATGAAAGACAAAGTATTTCATAAGGTTATATTATTTTATCTTGAAAAATGGACGTGGCAAAAGATTAATCCAGACCCACAAATTTCTTAAAAAAAATCAGAATATGGATAGAAACATAAATATTTTCTATTGCATTAAAAAACATTGTGTAGAGACAACCAAAACAAAGGGGGGAGGGGAGGCAGGAGAAGGGGTGGAGGGGGGGGAGGAGAAGGGGTGGAGGAGGGGGGAGGGGGGTACAGAGGCGTGCTGCCCCTGACCAACAGGTAAAGTGTAGCCTCACTCTCGTCACCTGCTGCTCGTCGTCATCATCACTGTAACATAAAACATAAATAACATGTTGTATTAAACAGATGATAAAGACAATAACAAACACGATCAGTATCTTTATTACGTATAAACATGATCACTAAATTTACCTGTGTGTGTGTGTGTGTGTGTGGCATTGGGTGAGTGTTCCTAAAGGTGTGTTACTGCTAGTGAGTGTTGTTGTGAGTGTTCCTAAAGGTGTGTTACTGCTGGTGAGTGTTGTTGTGAGTGTTCCTAAAGGTGTGTTACTGCTGGTGAGTGTTGTTGTGAGTGTTCCTAAAGGTGTGTTACTGCTGGTGAGTGTTGTTGTGAGTGTTGTTACAGATGTGTATTTCTGTACGTGTGTAGTGTTATGGATGTGGAGGTGAGTGTTACAGTTGTGGAAGTAAGATGCTACAGGTGTGGTGGTGGTGGTGAGTGTTACAGGTGTAGGAGTAAGATGTTACAGGTGTGTGGTGGTGGTGGTGAGTGTTACAGGTGTAGGAGTAAGATGCTAGAGGTGTGTGATGGTGGTGAGTGTTACATGTGTAGGAGTAAGATGCTACAGGTGTGTGGTGGTGGTGAGTGTTACAGGTGTAGGAGTAAGATGCTACAGGTGTGTGGTGGTGGTGGTGAGTGTTACAGGTGTAGGAGTAAGATGCTACAGGTGTGTGGTGGTGGTGGTGAGTGTTACAGGTGTAGGAGTAAGATGCTACAGGTGTGTGGTGCTGTACATGATGGCAGCATATACGTACAGGTAAAGTAGATCTGTGTAGCCATCTCCTCAACTGATGCTGCACTGTTGTTCTTTAACGGTATTTACTTCCTGTAAAAAAGAAAAAAAAAAGATGACATTAATAAAACAATAAAAAGTGTCAGGTAACATCAACATCTCTACTCGATAAATAGAACATTGAATTTAATTGTTCATATTGGAATATTTGTAGCATTTAAGTGTGTGTGTGGTCATGTTTGGTGTAAATGCGTGTATATATCTTCATCTTGGTGTATGTATATTTGGGTTCATGTGCATGTATGTATTTGTGTGCATGTATTCATGTGTGTACATCTTTTGTCTGGGTGACTTGGGTGTATACAGAGTACAGTATTTGGATTTTAGTGTGTGTGATTTTTAGTGCTAGTTTTATACGTCTTGTATTTCACATTATTATTATTACTCTTTCTTACAATCTCTCCCCATGTGATTCTTGGCCTACCCCTGGTTCTCCTTCCCTCCACATTGAGACTCGTGCATCTCTTGACACAATTGGTCTCCTCCATTTTCCCCACGTGCCCACACACTCTCAGTCTTCCTGTACCCATATTTCGTCAATACTCTCAACACCCAGCCGCTCCTTTAGCTCTGAACAAAGATTCCTATCATTCAGTGTCGTGCCCACTGCACATACACCTCCCCATTCACACATCAGCTCGCTCAAGCCTGCTATATTATCCTGTTTAGCTGCTAATGTTTCAGTGCCATACAACACTCTTCCTACACCAGTTGCTTACATCTTTCATTTTAAGCCAGAGTACGATGCTACAGGTGTGTGGTGCTGTTGGTGAGTTACATGTGGGAGTAAGATTCTACAAGTGTGTGGTGGTCGTAAGTGTTACAGGTGTGAGAATAATATGTTTACATGTGTGTGGTGGTGGTGAGTGTTACAGGTGTGAGAATAATATGTTTACATGTGTGTGGTGGTGGTGAGTGTTACAGGTGTGAGAATAATATGTTTACATGTGTGTGGTGGTGGTGAGTGTTACAGGTGTGGGAATAATATGTTTACATGTGTGTAGTGTAAGTGTTGTATATTCCGCCATGAAGGCAACACATACAGTATAGATAAATTAGACTCGTAGCCCCAGTCTCACCTGAACGACAACCGCTATATTCTCATTGACAGACTCGACAATTCTGAAAAAAAATAAAAAAAAAAAATAAATAAATAAATAAATAAATAAATAAAAATTAGATGTGTATTAAGCAGACAATATCAAGCACATTAATATCTCTATTCGATATAATATATATTGTATAACATTAAAGGTACTTGTTCATATTTGAACAAGTGTAAAATGCAAGTGTGGAAAATGGCCATAAAACGATGATGATGACTGATGATGATGATTGATGATAATGATGATGATGGTATGTGTGTGTGTGATTGTGTGGTGATGTTTGGTGCACAATGTAATGATGGTTTATTTACCAGACCACAGCTTACAACTCAGAAAAGTCCAGACCTGACCTTACATTAGCGAGGTCAAATGTAAGGGGACCCTTCGCAGCACCCAGTCAGCAAAAGAGGCCACCTGCCTCCAATATATACAACAACTTACAACTCAGAAAAAGTCCAGACCTGACCCTACATTAGCGAGGTCAAATGTAAGGAGACCCTTCGCCGCCGCCCGATCAGCTCAAACTGGCGGCTCGTCTCCCAATATATAGGACGTCGTAGCCCTCCCTCACGGGAAGCACACACACTGAGGGATCACAGGAGGAGGTCCACCACAGCTAGAGGTACCAGCCGGGTCCATCAGCAGGGGACAGAGTCACGCAAGCCCTCCCTCCCGACACCGGTGTCCAGCTAAGCAGTCTCCCATAGAGACAGCCCAGAATCACCTGCTAGGCCTCCCCCAGATCACGTGAGTTTTTGTCAGAGCTATCCATAGGATGAGTTACTTACGTGGGAGGTGCATTCATTTCATGTTTGTGTCCGAGAATCAGTGTCTAGTAACGTAAATATGATGTCCTAGTAACGTAATATGATGTCCTAGTAACGTAAATATAATGTCCTAGTAATTTCGATAGAGGGTGTTATTGATGTGTCCTTGCCATTGTCGTAATTAATAAATAGTTGTAACGAAGCCGGTGTCTGAGAAGTCGTCCTTAAGAACGTAATAGATGTGTATTGACGTATAAGATAAGATAAGTGTATTGACAGTGTAAATAACTAACCGGCCCCGCTACCAAACTCTTCCTGTCTTTACATCCTCTCACTATAAATATTCTACCTATGTGTAATCTTCTTCTTGTGAGTTCGTACTCATTACAACAATCTATTCACGCTGATGTGTGTGTGGTGTGGTAGATCTTTATTGTTATGGGTGGGAGTTGTTTTAAGTGTGGTGGTGGTGAGTGTTACAAGTGTGTGGTGGTGATGGTGAGTGTTACAAGTGTGTGGTGATGGTGAGTGTTACAAGTGTATGGTGATGGTGAGTGTTACAAGTGTGTGGTGGTGATGGTGAGTGTTACAGGTGTGTGGTGATGGTGAGTGTTACAAGTGTGTGGTGATGGTGAGTGTTACAAGTGTGTGGTGATGGTGAGGTGTTAAAAGTGTGTGGTGATGGTGAGTGTTACAAGTGTGTGGTGGTGATCAAGGTGAGTGTTACAGGTGTGTGGTGATGGTGGTGTTACAGGTGTGTGGTGATGGTGAGTGTTACAAGTGTGTGGTGATGGTGAGTGTTACAGAATTGTGTGTGGTGATGGTGAGTGTTACAAGTGTGTGGTGATGGTGAGTGTTACAAGTGTGTGGTGATGGTGAGTGTTACAAGTGTGTGGTGGTGATGGTGAGTGTTACAGGTGTGTGGTGATGGTGAGTGTTACAAGTGTGTGGTGATGGTGAGTGTTACAAGTGTGTGGTGATGGTGAGTGTTACAAGTGTGTGGTGATGGTGTTACAGGTGTATGGTGATGGTGAGTGTTACAAGTGTGTGGTGATGGTGAGTGTTACAGGGGTGTGTGGTGATGGTGAGTGTTACAGGTGTGGGATGGTGAGGTCTGTGGGTGGAGTGTTGTGTGGTGATGGTGGTTACAGTGTGGTGATGGTGAGGTTACAAGTGTGTGGTGATGGTGAGTGTTACAAGTGTGTGGTAATGGTGTTACAGGTGTATGGTGATGGTGAGTTTTTGTACATCATGATGGTAACTTATATATAGATAAATAAAGCAGGACTATGCAGCCCCCCTTCTTGCCTCTCTGCGTGTGTCATAAGTGTCAGTATACTGAAAATAAAAAAAAAGTCACATTAAGAAGACAATAAAAATTATATCAAACATCTTTACCATTTTTTTCAATATTACATATTGAATCTACTTATATGTGTGTGTGTTTGCGCATTCATGTTTGGTGTTCATGCGTGTACATACTTCTGTCTGCTTTTCTGTTCATGTGTATACGTATGTGTGTATGTATCTGTGTGAGTTTTTTGTACATGCATATATATATATATATATATATATATATATATATATATATATATATATATATATATATATATATATATTTCAAGTAGATCACAATGAAAACGTGGATAGATAAATCTATACACGGAAGAAACAACGGAGCATAGCTTTCGTCTTTTTCAAGACATCTTCAGAGGTGCTCCGTTGTTTCCCTGTTTATCGAATATATATATATATATATATATATATATATATATATATATATATATATATATATATATATATATATATATATATATATATATATATATATATATATATATATATATATATATATGAGGATCATTTGAGTTTATTTTTGATATTACTATTACTGTATTATTATTATTATTATTATTATTATTATTATTATTATTATTACAAGACGTTATTATTAATATTTCTGTAGGTGTGTGAGTGTTGTTTGAGAGAGTGTGTGTGTCTGTGTGTGTGCTGTTGTAGATGTGTCTTACTGCTGGGATGTATTGTAGTAGATGTGTGTTACTTCTGGGATGTATTGCTGTAGATGTGTGTTACTGCTGGGATGTATTGCTGTAGATGTGTGTGTTGCAGTAGATTTGTCTGTGTGGTGTTGTGACTATTGTTTTGTGTTGGATGTTTCTCTGGGTTTTGTGTTGCTATAGTTTTGTGCCGATCGAGGCATTTATGTGTTCCTGTAGGTATATGTTGCATTAAGTATGGTTTAGTGAGTATAGCGGCAGATGTGTTGCTGTGGGAGTGTAGTGAAGATGGTTTGTGTTAAGGTGTGGGAGTAAGATGCTAGAGGTGTGTGGTGGTGGTGAGTGTTACAGGTGTGGGAGTAAGATTCTACAGGTGTGTGGTAGTGGTAATTGTTGTACATTTGGTCATGATGGCAGCATTACTGGTAAAGGAACCTGTGTAGCCTCACTCACCCCCGTTTGCATTCGGCAGCTTCCCGCTCTCTGTAAAATAAAACATAAATTAGATGTCACATTAAACAGACAATAAAAGCTGTATCAAGTATTATCACCATATTACATAAATGTTACATTAGAGATAGTCGTTAATTAATCTTTAAAATCAAAGGACGTTTTTTGCTAAATTCTGATATTTTATTTACGACTGAAACTAATTTGAAAGTAATTAGTAGGAAGTGCAATTTATTCTGCATTACTTAAAATGTCGTGTGCCATTATAAGAAAAGCCAGATTATACCTACACTAGATTTGATATGATTAGGTTAGGCTGAGTTAGTTTGGATTCTCTATGCAACTTTCATTTACAAGTGATAAGAGAATTACTAATCTACTTGATCGTGTATAGCAAGTCAAAGGTTTCACCAAAAAGTATCATTATTAGATATTTATCCTTCTTTAGATTAACACACACCCATACTGTATATTACATAATGTGCAATATACTGTATTGTTGCTGAAGGTGTGTTTGTAGGCCTGTTGTTCTAGATGTGTGATGTTGTAGGCCTGTTGTTCTGGATGTGTGTTACTAAAGATAAGTGTTGCTGTAATAGATGACTTGCAATCTTGGGTGCTGCTGTATCGTTGAGCCACTAGACATGTGTGTGTGTGTGGTGAGTGTTACAGGTGTGGAAGTAAGATGTTACAGGTGTGTGGTGGTGGTGAGTGTTATAGGTGTGGGAGTAAGATGCTACAGGTGTGTGGTGGTGGTGAGTGATAGGTGTGGGAGTAAGATGCTACAGGTGTGTGGTGGTGGAGTGTTCCGGTGTGGGGTAAGATACTACAGGTGTGTGGTAGTGGTTAGTTGTTACAGGTGGGGAGATGATGCTACAGGTGTGTGTGGTGGTGGTGAATGTTACAGGTGTGGGGAGTGAATGTTACATGTATGAGGTGGTGAATGTTACAGGTGTGAGGTAAGATGCTGGGTGTGTGGTGGTGGTGAGTGTACAGGTGTGGGAGTAAGATGCTGCAGGTGTGTGGTGGTGGTAGGTGCTACAGGTGTGGGAGTAGATGTACAGGTGTGTGGTGGTGGTGGAGTGTTACAGGTGTGGGAGTAAGATGCTACAGGGTGTGTGGTAGTGGGTGATGTTACAGGTGTGGGAGTAAGATGCTATAGGTCTGTGGTAGTGGTGAGTGTTACAGGTGTGGGAGTAAGATGCCACAGGTGTGTGGTGGTGGTGAGTGTTACAGGTGTGGGAGAGTAAGATGCTGGGTGTGTGGTGGTGGTAATTGTTGTACATTTGGTCATGATGGCAGCATTACTGGTAAAGTAGACCTGTGTAGCCTCACTCACCTCCGTCTCTGTTCGGCAGCTTCTGCTCTCTGTAAATAAAACATAAATTAGATGTCACATTAAACAAACAATAAAAGCTGTATCAAGCATTATATATTATATTATATATATATATATATATATATATATATATATATATATATATATATATATATATATATATATATATATATATATATCATTAGCCCAAAAAAGCACGCAGACTTCCATATATTAACACACACCCCGACAGGATTCGAACTCACGATATAGATCGCGTGCTTTATTGGCCTAATGAAATATATGTGGCTCCTCGTGTTTCGAAGCCGGATTTTGTAAAACGTTACTCTGATTACCTAAGCGGCACGGGTAGTCCCCATTAGAGATTCACGGCACCATAAGCTCGTTGAACAGGCTTTGTGTGAAATATAACAGAGTCTAGGACTGCTTTTAGTGTCCTGGCGGCCCAGAGGTAACGTTTCCCGGTCACAGTCATAAGATCGTGGGTTCGAATCCTGGTGGGGTGAGGTGTTGAATATATATATATTTCATGTGTGTGTGTTGAAGTAGATTTGCCCATGTGATCGATGATCGTGATGGTGTGTGGTGCTGTGGGTATATAGTACTGTTGGTGTGTGGTGCTGTGGGTATATAGTACTGTGGGTGTGTGGGTGCTGTTGGTGTGTGGGCTGTTGGTGTGTGGTGCTGTGGGTATATAATACTGTTGGTGTGTGGTGCTGTGGATATATAGTACTGTTGGTGTGGTGCTGTGGTATATAGTATTGTTGGTGTGTGGTGCTGTGGGTGAAAGGTGCTGTGGGTATATAGTACTGGGTGTGTGGTGCTGTGGGTGTGTGGTGCTGTGGGTGTGTGGTGCTGTGGGTGTGTGGTGCTGTGGGTATATAGTACTGTGGGTTGTGGTGCTGTGGTATATAGTACTGTTGGTGTGTTGCTGTGTGGGTGTGTGGTGCTGTGGGTATATGCACTGTTGGTGTGTGGTGCTGTGGGTGTGTGATGCTGTGGGTGTGGTGCTGTGGGTGTGTGGTGTTGTGGTGTGTGGTGATGTGGGTGTGTGGTGCTGTGGGTGTGTGTTGCTGTGGGTGTGTGCTGTGGGTGTGTGGTGCTGTGGGTGTGTGGTGCTGTGGGTGTGTGTGGTGCGTTGGGTGTGTGGTGCTGTGGGTGTGTGTGTTGCTGTGGGTGTGTGGTGCTGTGGGGTGTGTGGTGCTGTGGGTGTGTGTTGCTGTGTGGGTGTGTGGTGCTGTGGGTGTGTGGTGCTGTGGGTGTGTGTGGTTGCTGTGGGTGTGTGTGTTGCTGTGGGTGTGGTGCTGTGGGTGTGTGGTGCTGTGGGTATATGGTACTGGTGTGTGTGGTGCTGTGGGTGTGTGGTGCTGTGGGCATATAGCACTGTTGGTGTGTGGTGCTGTGGGTGAATGGTGCTGTGGGCATATAGCACTGTGGTTGTGTGGTGCTGTGGGTGTGTGGTGCTGTGGGTATATGGTACTGTGGGTGTGTGGTGCTGTGGGTATATGGTACTGTGGGTGTGTGGTGCTGTGTGGGTATATAGCACTGTTGGTGTGTGGTGCTGTGGGGTGAATGGTGCTGTGGGTATATGGTACTGTTGGTGTGTTGTGCTGTGGGTGTGTGGTGCTGTGGGTATATAGTACTGTGGGTGTGGTGCTGTGGGTGTGTGTTGCTGTGGGTGTGTGTGTGGTGCTGCGGGTGGGTCGTGGCGCCGGGGTATATAGTACTGTTGGTGTGTAGGCTGTGGGTGTGTGGGTGCCAGGGCATATGGCACCGGTGGGTGTGGTGGTGTGGGCATATGGCAATCTGGTGTGTGGTGCTGTGGGTACATAGCACCGTTGGTGTGTGGTGCCAGGGGGAGAACGGTGCTGTGGGTATATAGCACCGTGGTTGTGTGGTGCTGTGGGTGTGTGGTGCTGTGGGTACATAGCACTGTGGGTGTGGTGCTGTGGGTGTGGTTGCTGTGGGTGTGTGGTGCTGCGGTGTGGTGGTGCTGGGGTGTGTGGTGCTGGGTGTGTGGTGCTGTGGGTGGTGGGTATGTGGTGTGTGGTGTCGGCGTGGCGGGTGTGCGCTGTGGGGAGCTGCGGGTGTGGTGCTGTGGGTGTGTGGTGCCGGGGGTGTGTGGTGTCAGGGTGTGTGGTGCAGGGGTGTGTGTGTGGTGCTGTGGGTGTGGTGCTGGTGGGTGTGTGGTGTCTGGCGTGGTGCTGTGGGTGTGTGTGTTGTGGGTGTGTGATGCTGTGGGTGTGTGGTGCTGTGCGTGTGTGGTGCTGTGGGTGTGTGGTGTTGTGGGTGTGTGATGCTGTGGGTGTGGTGGTGCTGGTGGGGAGTGTGGTGCTGTGGGTGTGTGGGTCTGGGGTGTGTGTGGGTCCTGTGGGTGTGTTGTGTTGTGCTGTGGTGTGTGGTGCTGTTGGTGTGTGGTACTGTGGTTGTGTGGTGCTGTGGGTGTGTGGTGCTGTGGGTGTGTGGTGCTGTGGGTATATACTGTATTGTTATGAGTATGTGGTTAACGGTCTACACACACGCTGTTACTATTATCTGGCGCGACTATTCATTTACGCCCTGAATAAGTAGAATGGTTCTCCCAGTCTTTGAGTTCTCTGGTGAGCAGGAATGAGTGGCTCCTTGTACTGTGTCTTGAATTCATTATGGTCAATTTTCTTTACTCGGGATCTGTCTGGAGGTCTTGACCTTTCCAAGTGATCTTAAAGATGATGATCTTAATATCCAACCAACAAGGGTTTACAGCAGACACCTGAACTACACTATTTACTTGTAATTAAGCTATGTCCGGTTACAAGAGCTTGGACGTTTTGGGAATATCTAATCTGATGTAACAACTGCTAAATACCTTAAAAACACGTGTTACTTGTTACATACATACAGGTGTAGGTATTCGTATGTAATTCAGTTGATGTGGTAGTGGTGAGAGTTACAGGTGGGAGATGCCACAGGTGTGTGGTGCTGGGAGGATGCTACAGGTGTGTGGTGGTGAAGGTGGGAGGTTACAGGTGTGGGAGTAAGATGCGACAGGTGTGTGGTGGTGAAGGTGAGTGTTACAGGTGTGGGTGTTAGATGCCACAGGTGTGGTGGTGTGAGTGTTACAGGTGGAGTATGATGCGTTGAGGTGTGGTGGCGGTGAGTGTTAAAGGTGTGGGAGTAAGATGCTGCAGGTGTGTGGTGGTGGTGAGTGTTACAGGTGTAGGGAGTAAGCTGTTGAGGTGTGGTGGTGGTGAGTGTTACAGGTGATAAGATGCGTGGTGGTGAGTGTTACAGGTGTGGGATAAGCCACAGGTGTGTGGTGGTGAGTGTTAGAGGTGGGATAAGATGCTACTAAGGTGTGGTGGTGGTGAGCACAGGTGAGAAGATGCTACAGGTGTGTGGTGGTGGTGAGTGTTGCGTGTGGGGAAGATTACAGGTGTGGTGGTGGTAATTGTTGCACATTTGGTCATGATGGCAGCATTACTGGTAAGTAGACCTGTGTAGCCTCACCACCTGTTCTGTTCGGCAGCTTCTGCTCTCTGTAAAATAAAAACATAAATTAGATGTCACATTAAACAAACAATAAAAGCTGTATCAAGCATTATATGTCTTTTATATATATATATATATATATATATATATATATATATATATATATATATATATATATATATATATATATAATATATATATCATTATTCTTACAAAGACTTAGTCTTTACCTCTGTATCTGCAAGGTAAAAGTCCGCTTCACTGCAATAAAAACAAATAAAAATTAGATGTCACATTAAGACACAATATAAAACCTTATCAACAATTATATATGTATATATAAACACATACTCAGGGATTATCGTGACTTTTTTTAATTTGTCCCGTGAGGGAGCCAGTTTATTGGGGACCTGCTTGCATCCTGTGCAAGGCGTAGCGCAAAAAGCGTTCACATTTCCCAACTTGGAAGCACGCAGAGTTCATGTTTGCCTAGTCAACTCATGTATTTAAGGGCGTAAATGCCTGTAGGTCCATGGATTTAATCGGCAAGTTGCATATAGTGACAGGATGAGTGTGTGGAGGAGAATTTCCGATACAATACATCTGTTAATGGCAAGGCGTGGCAGGTCCCTAATAAGTGAAATGCCAGGCACCCAGGAGGAGGGATATTGGTCAGGGGGTAGGGGTGTTAGGACGACTGGGACTATGTGCTGGTAGGATAGTCACGGTGGGGGTGGAGGGAGGCAATAGGCATTACCAGTACAAGTGTATGGCGACAAGTCATTTAGTGTGTGATGACGTGTTCGTCGATAGTTGCAGCGACGAGAAGGAGGTCGAGGTTGATTGGGGACGTCCTTCCTGGACGGAGGTACGTAGTCAACGTGCACGTTATCGGTGCGGTCCAAAGGTGCGGATAGCTAGGGTGCGAGAGATCCCACGCCCTGGACTCTTCAAAACTTCAACACTGATTCACAACCTTACGACCTCTTCCTCGTCACCACGTCATCTCACTCACACTAAATACTTAATACTGTAAACGCCTATGTGCCCTCCACCCCCCACCGTGCTATATGAACAAGACAAAATGCAAAGTTTGTGGTCAAACATATGGTCACACACTCTAACACTACGTCCTTGACTGTGTGAAGGTAGAAACCGTTTAGGGACAGGTCGAAGCAAACTGTGTGTGAAATGGCACAACACTTTATTTCTATGTATATGTGTTGCTGTGTGTGTGTGTGTGTGTGTGTGTGTGTTACAGTAAGATACTACAAGTGTGTGGCAGTGTTACAGCCAAATACTGCAGGTGTGAGCCAGGGTGTTACAGCCAAATGCTACAGGTGTGTGGCAGTGTTACAGTAACACACTACAGGTGTGTGGCAGAGTGTTACAGTAAGATACTACAGGTGCGTGGCAGTGTTACAGTAAGATACTACAGGTGTGTGGCAGTGTTGCAGTAAGATATACAGGTGTGTGGCAGTGTTACAGTAGATACTACAGGTGTGTGGCAGAGTGCTAGCAGTAAGATACCAGTGTGTGTGGGTGGCATACAGTAAGATATTACACAGG